TCTTGCGGGACACTGTTGCGGGACACTCTTGTGGGACACTCCTGTGGGACACTCATTTGGGACACTCTTGCGGGACACTCTTGTGGGACACTCTTGTAGGACACTCTTGTAGGACACTCTTGTGGGACACTCTTATAGGACACTCTTGTAGGAAACTCTTGTGGGATACTCTTGTAGGACACTCTTGTGGGACACTCTTGTAGGACACTCTTGTGGGGCACTCTTGTAGGGCACTCTTGTGGGACACTCTTGTGGGACACTCTTATAGGACACTCTTGTGGGACACTCTTAACTCTTGTGAGACACTCTTGTGGGACACGGTTGCGGGACACTCTTGTAGGGCACTCTTGTGGGACACTCTTACGGGACACTCTTGTAGGACACCCTTGTGGGACACTCTTGTAGGACACTCTTGTGGGACACTCTTACGGGACACTCTTGTTGCACACTCCTGTGGGACACTCTTGTGGGTCACTCTTATGGGACACTCTTGTCGGACACTCTTGTGGGACACACTTGTGGGACACTCTTGTGGGACACTCATACGGGACACTCTTGTGGGACACTCTTGTGGGACACTCCTGTAGGACACTCTTGTGGGACATGCGGGACACTCTTGTGGGACACTCTTGTGGGGCACTCATACGGGACACTCTTGTGGGACACTCTTGATTCACACTCTTGTAGGAGACTCTTGTGGGACACTCTTGTGGGACGCTCTTGTGGGACACTCTTGTAGGAAACTCTTGTGGGATACTCTTGTAGGACACTCTTGTGGGACACTCCTGTAGGGCACACTCTTCGTACGAGACTTCCTCCAAAAGTCACGCTGCGAGGCTGCAAGACGAGATTTTCGTACGAGACTTCCTCCAAAAGTCACGCGTCAAGTCTCAAAAACGAGCGTTTCGTACGAGACTTCCTCCAAAAGTCACACGTCAAGTCTCCAAAACGAGCGTTTCGTACGAGACTTCCTCCAAAAGTCACATGTCAAGTCCCCAAAACGAGCGTTTTGTACGAGACGTCCTCAAAAACTCACATGTCAAAGTCTGCAAAACGAACGTTTCGCACGAGACTTCCTCCAAAAGTCCAGCGGAAACACCCATCGGAGCACACACATCACGCAGCCCTGCCAAGCAGTTTCGCGATTCCAGCCCCTCCAAACGACACCCGCTCACACGCCAATCCCAATGTGACAGCGACATTCACCTCTACCACAACTCACAACCTCCCGATTCCCTGCGCCTGCCACGAATCTTTCCGCGTCCACACGTCTAACGCGCACAAAGTACTGCGCCTGTCACGACATGTCACCTCCGTCACGCATCGCAACCTCACGATTCCCTGCGCCTGCCACGAAAATCCCACTTCCACACCTCAAAACCCGCACAAAGTCCTGCGCCTGATAATGTCATCTCATGTGAGCTTCACCCAAATTTGCACCACACCACACGTTTGGAATGATTTCGACCCGTTCTGAGCACACTCCCAGGGTCCAAAATCGGCATTTCAGCTGAGACTTGTCACGAAAACAGAGCTTCGATGCCACACCCTGAAACGCAAATCCCAATGGCACGGCCACATCCAACACCCCAAAAAAACGACTCTCCAAACGCTAATCCCAATGGAACTGCGTAGCAAACTGCGGATCTCACAAAACGCTGCGCCTGTGCAGTGAAATGCATCACGCTTCTTGTGCGACATGTCCTTTTCACGCAAATCACAATGGACTCGCGTCGCAAACTAACACGTGACACATCCATGCATAGTCACTTGCAAAAGCTTCCCCCAATGGCAGCGCCTTAGCGACCTACTGCGGACGGTTGCGGACGGTTGCGAACATAGAAGCAACGGATCGCGAACAAGACTCTACCCCCAGGACCCCCAGAGTTAAACGAGAACCCTTCGCTACGCATTCGGGAAAAAAACGGAACCGGTCTCCTGGTGTCATGACGGGGCCGGTCTCCTAAGCCATCTTCGACCTTTCAACATGCCGTGGGAAGCCTTATAGCCTTATTTATACCAGGAGTCACAAAGGGGTGGTGTTTAGTCTCTAAGTGAGTGGATAATGGGCACCCCTAACCTCCATTAAGCACCCTTTTGTGACTGCTGGTATATATATATATATATAAAGGTGAAACCCTCGGGACTGCTCATAGAGCAGGAAAATGGGTGCTTCCAATTCTAGACATCACGAGTCAGTTTGTTTGTTTCTCTCGTTTTGTTGCTTTGATTGACTGGTGGGACTAGGGACTTGGTACCAACTGGATTGATGCATGAATTCTACAACGAAACTAAACACAATAACAACAAACACACTTCACACGCAAACATACATTATATATGACATACATTACATATTACTAGTGGCAAATACCTCATCCCAGGTCCTTTATGGTCCTTTCCAACACCAAAACAACGACCACCACTCCCACCGCTCCGCACCTTGGCGATCTCATCCTTCTGCGCCTGTCCCAGTGGCTCGCCGGGGGCGATGAGGATCTCCATGGCCTCGGTGTCACGTGGTGGAAAAAGTCATCGACATGACACCGATAGATGGGGGAAAACATGATGATTTGCTGACTCCCGAGCTTTTTTCCTTGGACATAAAAGAACCTTTTTCATCCTTTGTCAATCCTGTTCATATTTAGTGGAGTGTCCCCAATCCGAATCCCCCCAAAAAAGGTTAAAGGTTATCCATTGACTGGGTATTCTGCAATGAACCCCTACAAGTCCAGCCTGAAATGGGTCTTTGCAGAAGAAGTAGCTATAGATAGAAAGCATGATGAACATGGACAACACATTGCTTTCTCAACAAGGACCATCGGGCGAATTAAGTCAGAACCATGTGGTACAAAATCATCTAAGCAAATCAACATGGCTCTGATGCATGAGCTACGGTCTCCCTCCAATACAATCAACATGCACTTTGTAGCTGAAAAGGGCCCTCAAGGAAAGCATCATCGCCTCTCCCTGAAGCCAAGGCACTTCCGCCCAACTTCCACGACGAGGTTTGGGCCAAACGGCTCCCAAACAACAGAGGCTTCAGCTGAGGAAGCAGCAACAGCAATCAACCCTCAGGCCATAAAGCAAACGTGTGCTCTCGTTCAAGCTCCACTAACGCAGCCCAGTAAAATAGACCCAGAGGAAAGCCGAGTCCATCTCTTCTTCTCAGTCTATGGATCCACTGCCCTCTTTATGAAGGTGATTGGGCACTATTTGATGGACCCGGTGCCTTAAAAGGATCCAGTCTTATCTTCTGAGAAGGTAGGTACAAATCCGTGGATCCCAAACCCTTCTCCACATAGGGCTCCAACCACATCCTCAGGAGGTCTAACTAACTACCTCCAATTTGCTTAAGGAACCTGGAAAAATACCACATATTCCCAGAAATGGATTTATCCATAGGGAAAATAAACCAATTTCCTATAAGCAAAACCAGGAGGTGGTTGGAGCCCTAGCATCTCAGCACCTTCCAGACTCTAGCCAGCCTCTGAGGACGGTGGTGCCAGCAAATGCCGTGTGAGCCGGGCCTGAGTGAGTGGAACCCGAAGAGCCGGGCTCGCCCGGGCGAAGAACGAGAGGAGTAGCACCAGCGGAGCGGGCGCGAGACGCGAGCGACCAAACGGTCCGCAAGGTCTTGCACCCATGTTAGGGGTGGTTTTTGGATGACAAGAAGTAAATAAAACTGTCCAAGTCCAAGGCTCAAGGGAGTCATTTTTTGGAGTCTCTGACCATCCTCTGGGTGGTGCTCACATAAGTAGTATAGGGAAGATTTGAAGATTTGGTGACCGCATGGTGTTCAAAGCGACGAACAGCGGTGTCACGGGCCACGGGTGACCACTGCAGGTCCCTGCAGAACTTGAAGCGAAGCAAAAACAAGAAACACAAAACAACACAAACATGCTGCACTTGAGCTGACAAAAGCGAGCACTAACCAGAGTGGAGTGGAACCAAAGGCAAAGACTATAGTCATAATTCTTCAGCTTTCAATAGATTTTACATCATGCCTCCTGCCAGTTTGTCTAGCAAGCTACATCCGATCTGAAACATTTCTCAGAGCTGTCGCTCACAGCCCCTCCCAAACTATCCCAAACCTTCACTTGATATTCTTCAACCACCTCCAAGCCCTCAAGGCCACGTACGGCACCTCCGTACCCTCGGCCACACGGTAGGAGCCGGACGCCCATCGTTCAATTCGCCTCCACTGTTCGGCCCAGCAGCCCATCGTTCACCGCTGGTCTCGAGGCTCACGTCGCTCACGCGCAGGGAGACCGCCGCCGACTGGGCCAGTCACAAGTGGTTCTTCAAGAGCCCGAGGATAATCATCTTTTACCCCTAGGTCTCCAACCATCTCCTCAGGTGGTTAGACCCCCCAAACCCGACCTAGGGACCGAACAGCCATTGCTTTACTCAGAAGATAGCTCCGGTGGACTGGGCCGACTGTGAAGAGCCTATCTACTGAATGAGTACTAGTGACTCGAGTCAGATACCAGCAGAAACCAGGTGAAGTCACGGTGAAGTCATTTTGGAAGAACATGGTCGAACGGAAAGCTAGCGGCAACTGGGTGACTGTGGAAGGGTGTTGGCCTGGCCTACTAGACCACCGGGGCTTTGGGACTGACTCCCCCGTCGTGACCCAAACAGGCACCCCCGGGCCAAAACTTCTGGTTTGTGTGGTATATGTTCACTTGGGGCGAGCGGTGGGCTCAGGAAACCATTTTCAGGAGCAGTGCGCATGCAGTGAGAGCTTCAAAGAAGTTCCCTGGGTGGCTGGCGGAATGGTCAGAGCAGTCTGATGGGGCATCCTGCAAGTGCCCTTCAACCCCAGCAGCACAGTGTTTTCTTTCGATCTTCGCCCCCTACACCCCAGCAGCACCGTCGCCTCTTCCCGCTCCCAAGGGATCTCATCCTGCATTTCGCCCCACTCCGCCGCGAGGGCGACCGCGAGTGCGACCCCCTATACATGCGGGTGGGACCAAGGGCGGCGGATGCGACGGAGTGGGTTCATTGTCCTACTGGCGCTGGAACCCAAGAAGTAGTCTGTAGCCTTGACCTGTGGACCCACCTGCAGGTCGGACCCGGATGGACTCTCACAGCTGCTGGGTTGGTATTCGGAAAATGGTCGAAATCATGGGGTCACTTTGAGGGTCCAAGCTTGCACGGCGGCATATCATCAACTAAGCCAATTAAAGCACGTGGCTTGCGTGAGACTGCAGCCACTGCAGCCTGCAGTTTTCTTTGCAGCTGCAGGACAAACTGGAAAACGAGACCGTCGGATTCCCCTTCCCTACCGAAACCATCTAAAAACCTGTCCCTCATAGAAAGCAACATGGACCCTCCCAAACGTAGGGGTCCGGACCCAAACCAATACCTAGGGTAGTCCCTAGGGACCCGTCGAGCTGTGAACGGAGCGTCTGTCCCTCGTCGAAAGCAACTGGCGCACCTTCCACATCTTCGTACTCCATTTCAGACTTTCGCTCGTTTCACCCGTTGACATGGCACACCGCAACTCATCATCAGTCAGTTCCTCTCCTCCTGCAGCTCGTTCAACTCGATGCTCCCGCTGCGCTTCCGCGTGCGCGGACTCACCGCCCCATCGCTGCAGCGGCCACCGCGGTCGGACGCGACGTCAAAGGCGGCGTGGTGTGCCTGACATGGCGACCGTGGTAAAGGCTGCCTTTCGGAACTGTGGGTGGCACCCTGTGGCAAATATAACCTAAGCACGACCTGTCTGGGACATATTTGCCAATCGGGCCAGGGCTGGTTGATTTCAGGGGTCTTGCTGGGGTGACATATCTTCCAGTTCCATCTCAGTCGTGTCGTGAGGTGGCATCCCAAGACCGTCGATCCATGGCTTTCTATGGTGACTTTCCAGGACTTTGTTTGTCCAACTCACATGGTGTTCAACAAATCTTGATGGCTTGAAACATGTTGAAACAGGGATAGCATTCACCCAGGGTCGCACCAATCAAGATAGAGGTGTCAAAAAGTGCAATTGGGAGTCATCAATGCGACCCCCAATCGCCCAGCACATCTAAGCAAAACTTAGGACAGCTGAAACACCTCATGTCTATGATACAAGTGGGGCGGCATACCAAACCCAAACGATCCATATGGGAGAGCCAATATGACCAACACTCACCACCCAAAGACCTAACGTACTCCCCCTGGAACTTAACATGGAAGTGGAGTTCACTCCCTGTTTGGTATTCTGGTCGGGCAATTGCTCCTCAATTCCAATTCAGTTCCAGGGAGTACAGGCCATACTTGTGCCAGCTTGGCATCCGGGAAAAGTCTCACAGGTCGTCGTCTCGAGGGTCGCAGGCTTAAAAGCTGGCCTGTTCGAGTCTCGAAAGTCTATTTCCAGCCCACAAATCTACATCAACCCAAACTAACCACCACTTCTGAAGCAAGCAAAAAATCAACAAGCGCAGATTTCAAATTTAAGGACACATTGTAAGACCGCAAGAACATCTCGAGAAGAATAGAACCTAAACTCAGAAAAAAAAAAAAGAACTCACGATATAGATAGATCGATAGACAAATAGACTAGACTAGACTAGACTAGATTAGATTAGATTAGATTGATAGATGTATAGATAGATCTGGAGATAAACACAATACTGTAATCCCAAGGAGCCTGGAGCAAACCAGCTTTAAGGACCTCTAGCTGCTTCTGCAATGCATCTTCGAAATCCGCCATCGAAGAGGCTCCGCCCGGTCCGGCGAGCGAGCGGAGCGAAGTGTCTCAACAGGTGCCGATGGAAAAATGCACGTGCCGATGGTAGTGCTCCCATAAACGACAGGTGTCTTTGTTTGACAGGTGGCCTTTTTATCATGTGTGTTAGTATGATGTGATCATATGATCACATACCGGAATATATGCATTTCACCTGCATTCAAGTCCGGTGCATTTACTCGTCATCCTAACCTCTTGACCGTCTTGAACCTTCCATCCGAGGCCGGGCGTGCCATGGTCCCAAGAACTGGTTGGCAGCTTTGGAACCTTCAGAAGGTACATCTGCGGAATGTTTTGGACCATTGGACCACACACGAAAAATAAACTACATACTTACAGCCATTTCCTATCAAAGCTGTGGGAGCCTCATGTCTGGGCTTTGGGTAGGCTACGTTCACCTGCCAACACCGATCTGAGCTGAAATTGGAACATGCCCGGCTAACACATGTGCAAAACATTTGGGAGAGGGTTGCTGCCATGCACTATGCACATGTACTGTTTGTCTGGTACCCAGGATGGTCATGGCCTATGTCTTTGCGACATGGCAAAGGTGTGCACTCTTGAAACTTAACTGTAGCACAACCATACGATACATCATACACATATGGTGTCTCTCTAGGAGGAACCCACTACCCCATGACACAGCAGCTTCATGTGAACAAACAAACCTTGCACAGCTTCAACTGTTGGTAGCTTTTGATCAAAGGCTTTGGATCCAGGACTTGGATTTGCTAAAGGAACTTGACAAACATTAAAAAAACAATCAGGAGATTCACCAATGTATTAAGACAATAAGCATCACCCTGCAAAACCAGGAGTACGAATGGATCATAGATGAGTGCCCGAGTCCCCTAGGTGTCACATGGATTCACATGGCATGTTGGCCATCTCCCAACCGCTGCCGTCCAAAGGGCCCCTTCTCAAACAGTCTTCATAGCGATAGAAGGGTGACATGATCTCGGAACATGTCTTAGGGACAGCTCATATTTTCGCGGGGAACACTAATAGACTAATAGAAACGTGTTTTCTTGGAACACGTTTCATAGAAATCTCGGAACATGTACAAGAACATGTTCCGAGAGTTCAACTCTTGGAAACAGGACAAGTATATAGAAACATAAAGCTGTCTGGATCCACCTCCACCTCTCCTCAACCGGCCAGTTGCACCTCGTACATCATCCTCAGGTCATGTGGGCACCAAACAAAGTGGGGACGCTGTACGCCGCTGTGAGATGCTCCGATGCCAAAAAGGTGCAAGTCGGTGGAACTTGGTTGAATTTGTTGCGTTGAGAACCCACTTCTACATGTACAGTTTCGTGTTTCAGAAGTTTCTAGCTGGGTTCAGTTGTGACCAACCACAAAAAATGTCGTGCCTGACAGCCTTGATTTGCTTGGGATGCCATCTCAGCAAACCAGGACCCAGGACTTGGATATTTTTAAACGATTTTGAAAGCTTTGAGCCTGGAATATCCGGCCACCCACCACGCGTTTTGATATTTCCTTGGGTCTTGCATCAACAAAAAAGTGAACAACAAAAACACCAACACAACCGATGTCAGAACACATTTGTAACACATTGTAACACACATATAGTTACCAACAAATACCAACATACACAAACACCAACAAATACAAACCAATACCACCCCAACGACGCGGGCGCGTCACTCCCCACCTTTTGGGATGCTCCCATCCGAAGTCACTCCAAGCGTCTCCAGCCTGGCCATGAACTTGGGCAAGGTCCAGGTACACAAGAGCCTGGACTCGCCACCTGCGGCGTTCGATCGGATTGGCTGAGCCCATCGGAAAGCATCTTCACCAGAAGTAAGGGGATGAAAACCATATTATAATATATGGGGAACATGCAAAATCTCGGTTTTGAAGGTGGCTGGGGTGGGTCTGAGAAGGTGGTTGATTTATTTTCACGCAGACCAAGAAAAGAGGCACTCAAATGCTCACTGGGCGAGCAAGGTCTCGTGCGAAACGCACCGGCCGTCCCTGAGTGAACTTGATCAGGATTTGATCCACACGGTGCGCAACATCCAAATGCCAACCAATCTCCAAACCAACCACTTGATCAAGCCCACATGTGGCCGAGCTCGACTGTACGTCTCAAGAGGAACCGATAAATTACCAAAAATCCGTTTGAACGTCCTCGAGTCCTCTTGAGAAGTGTAAGTCGTTCCTGAGCTGTCAGCGAATGCTACAAGCACTTAGTTAAATAAACATGCCGTTTCATGGGAGCAACCAAGTCAAAGCCCACCGTCCAACGGAGGAGGTCGGCAACAAAATTTGCAGGGAAACCATGGGAAACCAGCTAATTGAATTTCATTCACATCATCCAAAAGTCCAAAAGAGAGCTTGAGGGCCTCCAGGTAAAGAGACCAAAAGTCTATCTCAAAAGGGCCAACATCAAGATCCAAGTTCTCATCCAAGGACCATCCCAGCTGGGCAAGGCACTGCGTAACCGCAAGCGTGTGAGCAGTAGTCACGAGGCATTCCCGGAGGGTTCGGCGGCGGATGGAACGACGAGGAGGGTGAAACCGGGGAAACTGGGGAGCATCCGCCGGGGCGGCAGAGAGGAGGAAGTCTTGGAGGTGTTGAAGCCCAGCAGCGAAGATGTCGTCAGTGCAGTGCACAGGCACGGCAGGACCATGCAAAGCCCAAAGCAAGCGGGCCAAAGCTTGGGCAGAAAGAGTCGGAAGAGTGGCCGGATGGGCGTGGAGAACCATGGCACGAACGCGCTGCCACGTGTTGAAGGAAATGGGTATGCCCAGGCCCACGAGAAAGGCGTGGCGCGCACGGAGGCCGCCAAGGTCGGTGTCCTGTGCGGGTAGGTGCAAGGAATGCCGCAGCAACAGATAGATTGGGCCGGTGGGCACTCCTTAAGAATGTAGACCTCCTCGCCCTCTAGAATCTTACTGCCCGTAAACGCGAGGGAGTCGGCGCTCTGCTGGGCGCCTCCGCCGGTAGTAAAGTTCACCGGACTATTTGAGGGCGAAGCGCACTCTCGCATCTTCTGCGTGAGCGCTTGGCGACCGAATAAATGCCTACCGGCTGCTGTATCCCGCTGCGAGGTGACTGACATGCGGCTGCCCAGTCAGAGCCAAAGCGAGTCTCCATGGCCGAAAACCAAGTTATGAGTTGCCGGATGGCTGTGCGACTTAGTTTTAGATAAAACGTAGGTTGAAGTTCTGTAGTGTAGGTTATAAAATGTGTAAGTTTGTTCAGTAATCGCCTCTACTTACAACTATAGGGGTAAAAGTGTCAGGAACAACTCGGAAAGAACGGGAGGGCGAGCAGTGGCACTTCGGGACACTTTTTTGGCCCCATTTCAGGGGGGGGTAGATGGCACAGGGTTTTTTACGCTCGCGTGGGGAGTAGGATGGGTGTGCGTTCAGAATTGATGGCGCAAGCCATCCAGCCTTTTGATTTCCTGTGGATTCCTTTCTGTTTCCATTCGTGGCTATGGATTTCCTGTTGGTGCCTATTGAATTCCTGTTGAAACCAATTGATTTCCTGCTGATTCCTATTGGTTTCCTTGCGGTTCCTTTTGGTTTCCTTTTGATGTCCCAGTGAAGCCTTTCGATTTCTAGGTGATTCCCTGTGTGGGTTGTGAATTTCCCCTCCAACAGGGTCAAACAAGTAATAGATGGCACAAAGGACAACGCGCTCCCACTGGGAGTAGGACGTTCGCGCGCTCAGAATTGATGGCGCAAGCCATCTAGCCTTTTGATTTCCAGTGGATTCCTGTCTGTTTCCTTTCATGGCTATGGATTTCCTGTTGGTGCCTATTGAATTCCTGTTGAAACCGTTTGATTTCCTGATGATTCCTATTGCTTTCACTCTTCCCTTTCTCCTGTTCTCGCCTTTTTTTGCATTTAGTTTCATTGTTGTTTCATTTCCTTTCCTTTCCTTTCCTTTTCCTTTCTTCTCCTCCTTTTTTTCACTCCATTCCTTCACTTCTCCTTTCCCTCACCTTCCCTTGCCATTCCCTTCCCGTTCCCTTTCCCTATGCGTCCACTTCACAATCCATTGGCCTAGCTTTCAGACCAGTGCATGATAACAGCCAAGTAGATGGCACATCCCCCGTGTGAAAGATGAACATGATAGTTGAGCCAATACATGGCGCAACTCATTTCCTTCCCCTTCACATCCTCTTCTTCCATACCCTTTTCCTTTCTGTGTCCTTTTCTTTTTCTTTCCTTGCCCCCTACATTTGTTTTGAAGTTTTCTGTTCTGTCTTATTTTCTTGCCTTTTATGTTCTTTTTGCTTCATTTCCTCTTCTCCCCTCTCCTTTTTTCCACTCCATTCCTTCACTTCTCCTTTCCATCTCCTTCCCCTACCTTTCCATCCCCATTCCCTTTCATTCTGCTTCCAGGACAACGAATGAGAACTGCCCAGCACATGGCGCACCCCCTGAGTGAAAGGTAACACAGCACTGATAGTGGAGCCAATAGATGGCACAACTAAGTTCCCCTCGCCTTCGTGTTCCCCCTGCTTCCCTCTCCTGCTCATGCCTGCATCCTTTCCTTTTCCTGTCCTTGTGTTTCCTTTGTTTCACTTCTCCTTTACCTGCCCTTCCCTTTCCTGTTCATTCTTGCTCTTTCCTTTTGCGTCCTTTCCTTTCATCTCCTTTTGCTTTCCTGCCCTTTCCCTCTCCTCTCCTTTCCTTCACTTCTCCTTTCCCTCTCTTTCCCTTGCCTTTTCCTTTTTCCTTCTGCATCCACTTCACACTCCATTGACCTAGCTTTCAGACCAGTGCACGATAACAGCCAAGTAGATGGCACAATCAACGGGGCATGGTCACGCAAAAGTAGATGGCGCAAGGTTTTTTGGGATTGATGATTTAGCCCTCCCAAGTCTGGAAAAATAGATGGCACAAAAAAATGAGGTCTCACAGGTAGAGGCTTGCAGGTGCCCCAAAATATTGATGGCACAACCTCAAAATTGGGTCCATCTACTTTTACCGCGGAGTAACTTGGTGCTCTTACACTAACTTATTGGATTTATTGTTTCTACTTAGTTCCTACTTAAGATGTACTTTAGGGTCGACTTAAGCTGAACTTAAGATTCATGTTTTTTGCACTTTTTTACTTAAGACCAACTCTTTTTTTGTAATGTTTTTAGCTGCTCCGGGAAAGTCTGAGAAGAAAACAGTCTGCTCCGGGAGGATTAGGCGAATGTAGGCCGAATGTAGGCGAGAAATCTAGAATTCTAAGTTTTCCAATGTAGGCCCTTCTGAAGTAAACAAGCAGGCCATGTAGGCCAAATGTAGGCCAAATAACCGCACAAGCTTGTTTCTCCTCCTCTATTTGCACTGAAAACGAATGTGCGTCGGAAAAAAAAGTTCTTGCGCGAAAAGAAGATTTTAACATATACAGTAAAAACAACTACGACCTACTTAGGCCCTGCTTGTAACCTGGGTCTTAACTCCTAAAAGTCCACTTATGCATACATTGGATAACTAAGTTATAACATGGACAAGTTAGTGACAAATCGCCACAGCCATCCAGTAAGGACATCAAAAGCTGGAGCAACAATGCCGAAAGTCCGGCGAAAAACGGCAAGTAAATGCGCCCAGCTGTTCTTTGTGAGTGGAACGTCGAGAACGTCCAAGATCTGCTGCCAGACGAAATATAAGCCGATAGCTGTGCGCGCAACGATGCGGCCCACGCCTCATAGGCAGGGTGACTTCCGACATGCACGCCGAGAAGTCGCAAAGGATGCCCTGTCTATAGAGTCACAGAAACGACACAAACGATGTCCGACCGAGACGTTGCACCGCATGGCGCAACCACACCCCCTTGCAAAATCTGGCGTTGTTAGGCCAAGCAGTACATGCGGAACAATACAATCGGTGTATATATCGAAAGCCTTAGGCTCCGCTTGCCAGAGTTTGCTACGAATGTACAAAAGGGACCTGTATACGGAACAGGTCTGGCTTGAAAGAGGAAGACAAGGCTGTAGGACCGTGGATTTTCTGGACTCCAATGTCGCCCAGTTGGATAATGCATGAACCTCTGATCAGCAGAGGGTCAGAAGCCTCTTGCAAGATGGCCGGCCACACGAGGTTCTCAACTTCAAGTTTTGCTATGTGTTCCGTAGGGACATCAGTGGTAGTCAGCATTGCCAAGGCCTAGGCCTAGGCTGAGATACGCTTTTGGTCCTGCAGGAAGCGGATGGCCTGCTCAGTTGTTCCAATCACAATTCCACCTCCTTCCGGCGTGATGCGATCAACTGAGATCTGTTCCAGCGTGTTGTCTTCTGCAAAAAAGGATGAGCAAGTAGAAGAAGGTGAGGTTGTGGTGCCACAGCTGGCTCTGCTCGTGTCTCCAGTGGAATGGTCTCTGTTGCTGATTGGCAAGTTGTTTGAAAGCCTGCCAGGGATTTGCTTGTGCGATTGCCCGAGCAATAGGAGCCGTTCCCAGTTTGGCTTGGATAGCTTTGCAGCGCCTGCTCTGACATTGAAGTCCAAAGTCCAAGAAAAAGGCCCAGTTTGTTGAGGACTATGGCGCCACAGTGATCACCAGTAGTCGGGGCAACTGGTGTGTGCCGAGTGACCTGCCGGATATGGCACATGAAAACTTGCACAAGCAAAGGGGCAATCTGCTGGACAAGAGAAAGATGGAAGTCCGGGACGCCATCATAGTAGGGGACCAGCCCTTGGCGTAGGTCTTGAATGACAAAAATCCAGTGCCCTTGAGAGAGAAGAGGCAGCATGATCAAGTTTTTTCCGCTCAACTCGCAGATCATCAATTTCATTGTAGAGCTCAACATGATGAAGGCCCGCTGCACTGCATCTCTCATACCCCAGACCTCTGAGCTCACCAGATTAATCTACCCAGATGGCATCGCCCCAGTGGTAGGTCCGAAAGGCGTTCTCAAATCTCATACCTGGGACAATGCGAAGCCCAAGGAGTCAAGCGCGTGAGCAATAAGAAAGCCAGGTGGGCCCTGGAAAGACAGAGGTGGATGGTGATGGAACCTTGTGGAAGGTCTCGGAGTCTCTTGGGCTGATGAACTTGTTTCCTTCACGCAGAAGCGCTTCTGGCCGTTGTGCTATGCTATGCCTTCTTTCCAAAGGGAGAGTCTTTGTCCCCATCCCAGTAGATACTGATGGGCTTTGAGCAAATCGGCAGCAGTAGACATCGGTGAACAATGCAAAGTATAAGTGAGGCAGAACCATCATGCAAAGAGACCGTCTGCGTCTGATGCGTCTGATAGGTGGGCCACATGAAGAGCTTTCATGATGTGCATCATGTACCACATTGCCTGCGTGGGGGCTGCCCTATCAAAGGAAGGTCGTGTCTTGCATTGGAGAGGTCATAGACATAGTCCGCTGGCAGGCTGCAGAAGAGACCAGCTTCAGCAGGATGGAGATGTGTGTATTGCCCCTGCATCAGAGCGGAGGGCAACATAGTCAACGAGACTCCATCATGGATGAATCTTTTGTATGCAAAGACCTTGTTGTCTGCGGCCACATGGGCAGGGTAGCAGATGGTGCCCCAAACTATGCAAAAGCGTCGGGCAAATGGCCTCGGACCTGAGCAGAGCTGAGTCCAAATCCAAGACTGAGGACTAGAATTCCATCTCCTGCGACGTCCATTGCAGCTCTTGCTCTGCCTTGGTCTGCCATGTGGGCCATTGTGGAAGAACTGCTGAGACACTGCAAAAGTCCAAGAGCTTTGGCATGGTCGGGAAGATCAAGCAGACCATGGCCATGTAAGGCAGGAGAATGCACCACCATGCGGTACGGCGACATGGCCAAGAATCCTGGAGATGAAGGATACCCTCCTTATACCCAAATCCCATCGCACCGGCAAAGGGCTCAAGGACCTGTGGGGGTTCTGAGAAATTGCCCGTCAGCGGAATGCTGTCCAGGAGCATCCATTGAGCATCCATCAAGTAAGCCGCTGCCAGTGTATGCCGGGGCATGTAGAAAACCCTTACAACCCCCTCTGGTGGAAAAAAGGGGGCATGGGAATCCACAACAAAGACCCATCTTTCAATTGCCAACCTGCTGGAACAAAAGGGCTATGTCAGACGGGTCACTGATGTTGCCCTTGAGCGCTTTACCCATGTGGTTCATGTCAGAGGTGTTCACCGCTGCGTACGAGATGTGCATACCAGCAGCGCGCATCAGCTGTAGCTGTTCCAAGCCAGTTGATACGCCCCCCAAACCACAGCAAAGCTCTACAAAACTCGAGGGCGCGACTTCAGCATGAGTGTGAACCTTGGTGACATCCAAGGTACACAGAGCCAACTTCCTCAGTCAGGGAGACTTCCTTAGTGATCCATCCGTTGAACACCTTGACCTCACCACCCGAGGCACATGCTCACCCCAAGCAAGAGCCCATGACGCACGGTGGCCAGAGAACAGCCTTCCTCACAACAGCTATGGATCCTAGCTGGAAAGCTGGCAAAGCTGCCAGGCCCCAGTCTCTCTTCCCAAACAAAGGTCGGCATGGCAAAAGGGACAGAACCGGCCCTTAGACACGTCAAGTTGCCGCTGAAAGGTTGGGCCCAAATCCTCATTCAACATCCCCTCTGCAAGCGTGAGTTCCCTCTCACTCATGACTTCGAAAATCTCTTTGATCTCCTTTTAACGCTGTCGTAGTTTGCTTCTTGCAGTGCCTTTTCAAAAGTTGCGTTGTCGTTTCTTGACGTTTTGAAATCTTCCAAAAACGGATCGTTTCCCAGATTGAAGTACTCCATCATGGAGTCGTACGTGGCTTTCGTCATCCCTGCCTGGCTCTTCAAACTTCATCGCAAGAACCTTCAGAGAAGAAGAATACAATCCCAAGTAGGTCTGGGGGTGTTTTACGGTTTTCAATATCATGCTCATGTGACGGTTTGTGATGTCGTTTTGATCGAACCCCAGTTCTTCTGACCCCTTGTCCTCCACAAAGTCGGCGTGTATGTCGTAGACGCTCCTTGCCACCTCCTCATCCGTAAATGCCAGGTATTTCCTCATCATGGGAGTTTGAAGGAATGCGCCCATTTGGGAGGGTGAGTATTCTTCACCTGATGAAAAGGTCACCTACCTCCAAACTCCGAGCCAGGTCTGACGCAAAGGTGACCATCTTCTTCACAATCTGTTCCCTTGTATTGCCAGGCCCGTTCAAACCAACTGCTGTGAAGGAAAGAGCAGGTGTGATGTCCGATCCAGAGAGAAGCGATGAAAGGACGAGCGCTCTCAAACTTTTCGCTTTGTCTTTCTTGTAGAAGTATATCAATGGAAAGTCCACTTTAAAAGTCGAAATCGAAACTGTCACATCATTGGCAGTTTCTCCCAAGCTTTTCGTCAAGGATCATGCTCCACACCTGAGAAGAAATTGCCGCCTTTGTGTTTGCATCGAAGTCGCCTCTGAAAACTGCCCGTTTGAATGTGACTCGGGTGCTCGGGTCGTGTAGAGTACGTGCCATTGTGTGCACCCCAATTTTGGGCCCCAAGCGTCCTTCTCGCTTGAAGGTTGGGTCCCTTGCTTTGAAGCCTCCGCTGAGTTTAGGGTATCCGTAAAGTTCCTCAGCAGATTTCTGCTCTTCGACCGAGGATTACTCATGGCCATGCCGAAATTTGCTCCATCCACCATCACCAAGATGCGGGTAGGTTTTAGTGCCAACCCCAAATGACCCATGAACTTTTCAAAGGAGAATCGAGGGCTCTCCGATCTTCCAGCTCTCCTTGATCTTCTGGTGGATGCCCTTCACAACCACCTCATCTCCAGCGATGATCACATCGTCGACATAGGTGGCACACAATCCCACCAGGCGCCACTCCTCCTCGCCAGCTCGCTGTCCTCGCACAGCTCACATGTCGTCCTGCGTCGTCTTCTCCGCCTTATAGCGGACCTCGCCCTCTTCCCAGCAGAGTTCCCGGACGCATCGGTCACGATGTAGGCACCAGTCTTTCGGTGATGTGGCCAGTCCATATAGAGCCTTACGGACTCTCCACAGTTCTCCTGGGTGCTTGAGGATCTGAGCTTCTCTGAACACTCGGGGAGGCTCGACAATGACGATTCCCCTCTCAGCCGATTCATCGACCGGCGCATTCAGAAATGCTGTTTTCACGTCCACTGTTCCTGAGTGGGCATGTGCAAAAGGTCACCTAGCGCAACGGACTTGTTCGCGAGTCCAGCTCTGTGTGCAGATTTGAGCTTTGTTCTTTAGATTCTGGAGAGCCAAGAGGAGAGACCATTTGAGTCGATGAAGCTTGAGCCAAAAGGGCCACGGATGATTAGCGGAAACTAAAAAATACATCGCCTTGCAGCAACACCAGTTTAGGTTCTTGTTTGGGACACCGAAGCCTGCAAGTCTATTCATGTGTCTGGCATGCCCACGTTCAAACGACCATGCCCACCTCAAAACCCTGAGGTCTGGAACATGGCGGGTCGGGGGGCGGATGACTGGAGGGACAAAGGGTCACCAACAAACTACACGACTGGGACCTGCCTCCATTGGGGGCCTCCATTGGGCACCCCAAAAGCGGAAGGCTCCTGGAAATCCATCCCCCTTTTGGCGCTGTATATAGTTGTTCAATTCAGGAGATATTATATAAATGTTCTTAATCAAGGCTCCACATTAGAAGCATCCTCAGGCCCTGCCCCAGCTGCGCCAGGCCCTCCCCACTGTGTCCGCTGCCGCGGTTGTTCGCGCCCGGCAGCACCGAGAGCACCGCCGCCTGAAGCGATGCGCCCTTCACCATGCTCCAACCACCCACCCATGGGCATATGGGGCATGAACCACGTACATACGTCCCATCTCCAAGCACCGACAAGCGCGGTCGCTCTACGGATCGGCCATGTTTGGACCTCCTAGGAATCGACTTCCAGGAAGAAGGACACCCAGCGGCCAGTGTGTCTCTTCGGTCCGCCGAACTTTGGTCCGCCCGGTCCCTCCGTCGGCTCGGCTCGCTGTCTCCGTCGCCTGGATGCGGTTCTTCCCGTAGAGCGCCATGACCTTCCGCGCCGCTGCGCGGAAGCGCTCCAGCGGCGAGGTCCGCTTGACCAGGCGCACCTGAGATCGGTGGGGGTTGAGGGCGGAGGAGGGGTGGTGAGAGTTTTGGAGAGAAGGAGCATCCCCCCCGGTGCTGTTGGGGACTTGGATATTTGGATGTTGGATGATTTTGGTGTATAGGTGTAATGGTCTAATGATTACATCATGTTTTTTTTACCAGGGCCCAGTGGATGATCTTGGGGTAGGTTGCAGGCCTTCATATCGAAAATAGTGATTTACTTGTTCAACCACTGTTGCAGCTGTATATATATACTGGGACAACCCCCAGGTAGGTGTTTGGATGGTCAACACCAACTCAAAGTGAAGCAATCAAATCTTACTTCAGTTTCTTCATTGCTTCGACAAGGGGTGAACAACAACCACAATACACTGGGGCGCCGAAAGTTGCGCTTCTTGACTTCTAAAACGGGACAAACCCTTTCCCTTTAGAATCCTATGTGCAACATGTCGACACCTTTCAGGTGTGGAAATCTGACCGCGCTGTACCTGCCAGGCAAAATGGACGTGTCAATCCGATCCGCTGTAGACCGCAAGTGTCATGTTGGAACAGAGTAAGACGCGCAAACTTTAGGGTTCTTGAAGCAAGCTATTGTTTACTCCACAGTTCCCTTGATAGCAGGAGAACACCCGCTTGCTTAGTGTGGAGGGTTTGCAAACTACTTACGACCACTACCGCACTTCATCTAGGCGGATCAAAAACACCTTAAAACCAAATGCCGGCCCAAATCATGACTTGGTTAATCTTGGTTAAAACCCTCTTCGCTGCGGGGCAGCGATCGTCTCCGCGAAGATTCGTGCAGCCTTTATGACTGTGTTGGCTCAACTGATGTTAGATTTCCACTGCTGCAAACATCGTTCATCAATCATAATATTCATCCCATTCTCGACGATTAAGGAATATATGTTATGTTTTTTCCCGAAAATGACTAACTAAGAGTCTACGAATCCCGTGCAAAACCGTTACCAATCCCAATGTGCCGAAACGATCAAAACGGTTGAGCCATCACTTGCAGGTCCCCCCGTCGTCGGTCCCAGCCACACAAAGCTGCGGAAGGTTTGCGCAGTCGTTGAAGCCGTACGACAGGACGGGTGCCTCGCAGCTGCTTGCTGGAGGTGTAACGATATGATGGGCGTACATGCAAAACCCAAGGATGAAGGAATTCATATCTGGAGCCTACTCCCTCGCAAACTAACAGCTATCTATTTGGAGTCTATCTGGAGTCTACTCCCTCGCAAACTCACATAGAACCTGAGAATTGGCCGGTGGTTTCGACCATTTTCCGAATACCAGCTCGGTGGTTTTGGGGTTCCATGTTAACCTGCGGGGGAGTATATGTATGGGTAGAAACGGTTTCCGAAATCATGCTTAAAGGAGCTGCTTTGCTATCTATATCTATTTTTTGGGGTCTATATCAATACAAAATTATTAGATATATGAGGCCTGGAACCAGGATGGTGAGTTTGGCGTCATTGCCTACTAGGGTAGGTTCCAATCCTGCTGACAGAGAGCAGCTCTCAAAACTTATGATTCTGGGGCGACATCCTGCGTCACTGGCAGATTACTGAAACCATAACTATAACTGGACATATAACCATAAACCATAATAACTCTATAAATTGAATGAAACATCTGGAAATGGCAGACTCCCATGTTCTAGCTTTCCTTCGATCAGCTTTCCAAGGTCGTCAGTCAGCCACTCGAAACAAAAGACACCCATGCGACCCCAGATGTTTCCCACAAAGGGGCTCTAAACCCCCACCATCCCAGACCAGACGAATGGGACTGGCAGAGTTACTCTTCTCAGTTGGGGTCAGAAATTCATGGGGTAGATGTCCGTCACTCTTCCAGTCCCATTCGTCGGGAACTGGGCATGGTCACCAACTGAAGAATCTGATGGACACCGTCCTCACCACTCATTGAGTTCAGTGGTCGCACCTGCGCGGCCAGTTCGAACTGCAGTCCTGCGGCGGCGAGCGTTCTCTCGCCGGGACCGGCCCTACTCGACTGAATGCAACATGTTTAAACACATGGTTTGTTCATGTTGGTTCGTTCGACGCTTCAAGGCGATTGGCAAATCTGGAACATGTGTTGACCCTACAAAGTGATAACTGATAACCTCTCTATAATGCGGGTGTGCTTCCCATGCAAAAGTTATACTTCTAGATCATAGGTATATGATATATATATATATAGATAGATAGATAGATAGATAGAATAGCCGCATGTTGCATGTCTGTGTGTATGCGGAGACGTTTCTAGATCTGTTGTCATCTACGGGTCCTCTTTCGGGGGGAGCTTCATGGGGATCACCTCTCATGGTCACAAGCCGTTCCGCCGCGTTCCGCCCCCGACGCCCCACTTGCCGCGCCTGACGCGGGGCGCACCAAGCGTGTGAGCTCATTGGCTTCATCCACTTTGGCTTGTGCACGCCGCGCGCCAATCATGAATGCCTCCGTCGGGGCCCACACCGATCGGTGTGGCCCACACTCGGCGCACCACGACGCGATGTTCTGGATCCGGACGGACGAACTCAGCGAGGCTTCTTGGAGGAACCGGGGGGGGGGGGGGTTGCGGGCGTGCCGTACTCAGCATGTGTTTGGGCCTATGCAGTGGTGAGGTTCTGAACCTTAGCACTATATAGGGCTCCAACTATATCCTCAGGAGGTGGTTAGACCTCTTTAAAATTATTCAAACCTACCCCAGTCCCACCGAACCGAAAGGGAGGTGGTTGGAGCCCGAGGGTAGACGAGAAATCCCTCCAATCTTGGAGCTTTTCCCACCCACGGCCGATTTGGCAGGCACCTGAGATCCGGAGATCTTCCCCATCCTTCGCTGAGAAGCTAACCTAAGGCTTCCAAGCACCATTAATGGTCATATATAGGTGTTGCATGGTTTTGCCAAACAGTCATTGTTGTACTGACTACTGTAAGGATATTACAAAACCAGGTCCACCTTTCTCTCATTGTAAAGGTCTTGGAAGGCGAAGGTAAGAATCCAAAAAACACATGTGACATGTGCCTTTCCCCCAATCGCAAAACCAGGTCAAACCACGCCCCTGCCCCGAAACACTACCCGAACTGCTCGGCGTTGCCGATGCCAGTCTATGGATCCTTATAGATCCACTGCCACCCTCTTCATCAAGGCGATTGGACACTCTTGTGTAGGTTCTGAGAAGGTAGTGGATCCTTAAGGCCATGGGTGGTGTCTTGCAAAGGGGGTACTCTTCCAGGTCAAACCACCTTCAGACCGAACAACGACGCGGCTTCGGTTGGCCTTCAACATCAGCTCCCCCTCACGGTCTCGGTTTTGACCTCAGCTTTTGCACCAAAGGTGAGCGTTTCTGAAAACCTTGATGAAATCCCATGTCGTATCATTGGGCTTACGCTTATGCTTACGCTGCCTTACGCGACTCACATGTTTGCTTACGCGGTACACTTGGAGCAAGAAGGGCTTACGCAGACCTTACGCAACGCCTGTCTCGCACAAAATGCAGCTGACACCACAACGCGAGCTTACGCGCTGCATACTTTGTACAATGGACATTTACTACACCTAATCTTCGGATATGGATGCTGAAGAAGCACTTGAGGATGAGGACGAAGAAGAAGGCTCGAAGGCAGAAGCAACCAAGCAGCAGCAGCAGCACCAGCAGCAGTAGCAGCAGCAGACCAGCAGCAGACCAGCAGCAGACCAGCAGCAGCACAGCAGCAGCAGCGGCAGCAGCAGCAGCAGCAGCAGCAGACTAGCAGCAGAAGACCTGCAGCAGCAGACCTGCAGCAGCAGCAGCAGCAGGAAGTGGAGAAGTGGGAAGGGCGATGCGCGCAAACCACATTGTATATGTATAGAGGTCTTCAACAAAACGCTGCCGCTGACGCAACGGTTTCGGAGAAGGAGGCATGTGGGCTACTGGTGGAAAAGGACACCGGAGCTTACGCGGAGCTTACGCGGAGCTTACGCGCGGCTTACGCGCTGGAACTCACAAAAAACACCTGGAGTTTCTCATGTCTGACATGGAGGTTTGACTGTTCAGCTGTGGTGTTTGGACTGTGTGTGTTCAGCAATTCGAGTTTGGATTGTCTATATATGTATGTGTGGAGTTGGACTGTTCCTTAGTCCTAGCACTTCTGAGAGGGGTTGCTCATGTATTTATCATGTATTTCTTCAAAGCTTACGCATGGCTTACGCAAAAGGTTTCCTTACAAAAAGCTTACGCAACCTTACGCGCGTGCAGGTTTTGCTTACGCACAACTTCGATATGACAACACACTGATTAAACATGAACACGGAGGTTTATCGAATGGCTCAGGTGGGAACTTGTTCTCCCCATGGGGGTGTAGGTCTCACTCCCCATTTAACTAATTATGTACCTTTGGTCTGTATACTTTTGGGGGGTAACCTTCATGCCTATAAATCCAGGTGGGGGTTGTGGTCGGCTTGTGAGGGTAGAAGGTTCATGAAAGTTCCCAGGTTCTGCTCACGAGCCCAGCTCGCTGACGATTGGTGGTGACAAGGTTTGATGCATCAAACAAAAGTCTGTGGTTGGTCGGCGACAATCTCGCAGAAACAAAGGCATGTTTGCCATTGAAACGGAAGGTCACCGGAAAATCAGTGATAGCGAGATGCTTGCAAAGTTTCATGGATACTAATTTGGCAGCACGCACAGCTTAGCCATAGTGAGAGTTGTAGTTGGACTGTTCGATCTGATCCTTGCTGGTGAACTTCAAGCTTTTCTTGAGAAGATACAGGATTTAAGTGAAGACAACTGAGTTCCTTTGGGTTCTCCAGGTGCTGTGGGGATTCTCCGAGGACTTCACATAGTCATCAGCTCGTGCCGGGACTTTCTAGCAGCTGGTGGCAAGCGTTCTCGCATAGCGCGTTGGGGGCGAGTTTCACATTCTCTAGCAACAATTTGTTGAGTCTTTGTTTTTGATCGCTTCCAACCCCGAGACCAAGAATTGTCCTCGAGGATCGTGCAGCCCTGCCGAACTAAATGCTTGAGCCGGGGGCCCAGCTTCAAATATAGATCAATATCATTCTCCATGCTCGTTCGCGTCTGTATGCCCTCCACAAGGAGCTTTTGGGGCAAAGGCTGCCCAGATAAAAGCAACAAATACGTAGTGTTTATAGATAGCAACCCCTTGTATGATATTATATATACATAGTAGGATGAACGTAAGCCCGAGTGAAGCTCCGCCAACTAACTCAAGCGCTACCGCTGCTACCCAGAAAGGCAACGTGCGTTCAGCTGGGGCCCATGTGCGCAAGTGCTGCAATCATCAGCCACGTCTGTGATAGAAGGCAAATGTGACAGAAAGCGATATACTACACTCAATTGCACCACTTGATCATGCATACCGTAGGGCTCCAAGTACCTTCTGAGGAGGTACTTGGAGCCCTAGGGATCATCATACTAAAGACCTCGCTCTGGGTCGAAACCCGGACCCCTGATCCGTAGGTTGACCTCCCATTCGTAGTCTATTCCGGTTTTGACCCACATTCACATGGTGACCCAAATCTGATCCAACAACCTGCGGACGATACAAGGACGGTGCAACCGGGGGCGCCATCCTGCGCGCAGCCAAGCAGCTCTGGAGCTGATTGCAATAATCTCCTCAAATCCAAAGAACTGACTTCTTCAAGGAGCTTGGTGCGGTTGCGGGGTGAAATCAGTCCCGTGCTCCAGCCAGATCAAGCCGGAAGATGAGGCAAACATTTTCCCAGAAACTCTGCTGACCCAGTCATGACCTTGGCAAAAGTTGCCCAAACAAACCATATCCACTATATAGGTCTTTCAATTAGTGTACTCACCCATTTTGGGTTCCAAGTGCTCATCCAAACCATTCAATGTTCTTGCACACCAACGAGCAAACCTCATGGTTCCACGCTACTTAACCATGTGTGATTGAGCAATGGCATTATGTGTCCATAAGACTTTAGGCTTGTGATGCCAATGCTCACTACGTGCTGCAACACCTGCAAAAACTACATCATACCTTCCTCCCACCAAGGCGCGACATCGTTCAGCACGTGGCCTTCGCCGCGTTGTGTAAGTTCCCGTATTCCTACATGTTGACTCTATTTTTGTGTTGACTCTACCTGGACCCTCCTGTCGGGGTGTCCTGGCTGGACTACCCCACACTACCGAAAAAGGCTTCCAGACAGGGCACCCCACGGTGTCGGTATAGAAGCGTTAGAAGGTGCGTATGCTAGACCAGTGAACCCTCCCTCCCCAGAACCGCGTTCCAGCTCGGTCCACCTCCGCGCTCTGCACCACCCGTCCTGCGAGCTTGGCCTCCACGGGATCTTTGCTCCGTGCCTGGAGAATGAGCGCCAGCGAGCGCCAGCGAGCGAGCTCGTTCGAAGCCATCCCATTGCCAGGTCAAAAAGAAATCCTGGACAATCCAAGAGCCTGTATAGACATGAATTATATGTGGTAGATCCCAGTAAACCAGGGCCCAGTGGATGACGATGACGATGACGATGACGATGATGATGATGATGATGATGATGATGATGATGATATAGCCTAGGGCTCAAAGTATAATTCTACACAATGACAATTAGTTTCTTAAATCTGTCCAATTAGCCCCATGTATAGCCCTAATGTAGTTACAGATCTATATTCCATAATACTCATGGATGGTCTGGACATGATCCACCATGCATTTCTTCACCCCTGGAGTGGAGTCAGTCCACGCCTTCTTTGGCACCCCTGCTGCAGCTGCTGCTGGGGGGGTACATCTGGAGCCCAAGCTTCTGGACAGCTGGAGCCCTTTTCTTAGGGAGATCTGCTGCTGGAGGGGTCACCATGGGTCTCCCTCGGCTTCCCTCTTCGAGTTTCTTTGAGGAAACCACCCGGTGGGTCTCGGCACGACTCTGTGCGGAAACTTGGCTTGGTGATAAGACATGCCCAAAGTCCACCCTTTAGGTTTCAAAAGCCACCCCTTTCGAGTCTCCAAGCCTCAGTTGATAGAGCTTCCATACCCCCCCCACCAAAACACTATAAATAGGCCTGACTATGGGTCATATGCCAGGCTTAATGGTAGTTTGAGGTGGCTAGAGGTGTTTTTTTTCCGAATAAGAGACTCAAAACCCCCACCGGATCTTTTTTCAGCATCCTGCAAAGGAGTCTTGGGGTGTTCAAACTCCTCCAGGCTTGGACACAGCTCCTGGTCAGCCAAGTCCCCTATCCCCGGGCCTCGCCAAGAATACTGTCCACCAGTTGTTGAGTAATTCGACCATCCTCGCAAAGGGTAGACCGGTCGATCACCCCGCAAGAGCCTTTTTAGCTCCATGGGTACAGTCAGTTTAGTATGAGTTGATGTTCCAAAACGCATAGATAGATGGGAAGGGATTTGGAATGGATCTATACCAGTACCCGAGCTCGATCTCAAGGGTCTCGTGACTGAACTGGAGCTCGGCCGTGGAGCCGCGGTGCTGGTCGATCGGACGTCTGGGAGGTCACCACGCACCCGATTTTTTGATCACCTCGGGTGATGAGGTGGACGTTCACCAGATTTATCAAAGCAAAGCTCACCGGATCAACCCTAGAAGATATGGCAGTGGTCTGTCCTCCATCTCTGCTCTGGAAGTTCTCAGCTTCTCTTGCAGCTCCTGCATCAGCACGCGGGCCAAACTTGTGCCAGCGGTGGCAACAACAGCCTTTGGATTTTCCTATAATGATGTCGTCCAAACAGGCGCTGAGTGCTGGCGAACAGGCTTTTCTTGAAATACCTTGCCCGGGGCAAGCTGTCCCAGCCCTGTTCCTCCGGAGATGCACGTTGCAAGAACAAGTAGAAGGTGGTGACGGTCGAGCGGCCAAAGAGGATGCAGTCCTTGGTTCTGAACCGAGGACTGCAGTCCCACATGCCAGGACTGGAAGATGGAAGCTATGTGAACTCCGAAACAACCAAAGTAATTAGATATAATATCCATGGCAATTGACCCATCCAGGGGTCAAGGGTAGGTCTATAGAGCACAAGGGTATACCCTCAGCCTTCCGATCAAACCATGGCCGAAACGGGGGCACACTTCGGAGGCTGCGGCCGCTCAAACGGGGCGGCAGGAGACCGCAACGGTCGGCCGCTCGGGAACGCTGCGGCCAGGGACGGTCGGATGTGGCACCCGAGCCACATGGGTTTCGGGATGATCGTGGTCTTTCCCCGGTCTTTCCAACGTCGTGGTCTTTCGTGGCCTATCTTAGCTTGTCTGAAGTTTTGTATCAAGTGCGGCTTGATGAAGTGGACGTGGAAGACATTTGACGGTCAAATTGGTCAACAAACTTGGCATTCAAGCATTTTAGGATCTACCTTCAGTCCGTCTAGTCTATATAATCATGCGGTCAGCGCATGATTGACACATAATTCAAGAAACAAAACAAACCGAAACAGTTTGCAATGTGAATCACATTGAACACCTGCCGGGTTAATAACGATTCAGATGCCGCACGTGAAAAGGCAACAGCAGTTTCCATCAATCTTTGCTCCTCCTTGGAATGATCTTTTTGGGGTGCTGGGAACCACCACCACAAATGCACTGCCTGAAAGAGTGTGGATGGCAATTGTTGGAGATGGTATGAGATGGTCACCCTCCACCTTCAGTCCATCTAATCATGTGGTCAGCACGGCCCCCGCAATATAGTATTTGTTATATGTAGTACATCGTCAGACCCCACAGAGCTAAGGACGTCCAAACCCACAACGCCCTAAGTTAGGCCGAGTGGAGCGGGCGGGCGCTGCCTCCCAACGAACTGACGGGCGCTCAAGGAGGGAAACACTTCACACACGGTGCCCAGGTGCCAAGTGTTTCAACTCTTGTTCGTTGATCAACTTGCTTCCATTCACCTGCACGTCCCGACGCTGGCAGTCGCTTCATATGAGCCATCACCCCTGGCTCCCTGCAGAGGTGATCAAGCTCATCGATGTGCCAAGGCACGAGGCACAATCGATCTGTGGGGCATGTACTGGGTGGTGACTCCTGACACCCCAAATCCAAAACAATCCATGTATGGAATATGTACCTACAGGAGGCAAATATGGCAGTCCCATGGAGTGTCTGGGAATTGGATGGTGCTTTAGATGGTTTCCCCCCATCTGTCGACAAACATCTTCGGGTGCCCAGTGCCATGCGAAGACTCTGAAACCACTATGGCAATAATCCACCATGTGCCACGTGATCATCATCTTAATCTTCACCAGAGAAAACAAACAACCCAAAAAAAAATGAATCTCCATCTGCCACGCCTCATAAAAGCGGTCCTCACCGGTCAGAATGGCCAAACCACCCTTGTTATTTTCAATCATATATCAGGTAATCCCCTGTGATTCACTGTGGGTTTGACGGATTATTTCATTGACATCTGCTCATTTACACCCACTCATGATCATATGAATCATATGCGATATCTCCACTCTAAGATGCCATGTCTTGATTCAACATGCTCATGAAATGATCCTCCTTCCGCCTTCTCCTCGCACACACCACCGCGCGTGTCACACGAGCCACGCGCGCCGCGCCTCGATGGCGCCCGCTCGGCCGTGGCCATTGGGCGGCGGCGCGGGGCGCAGCAGCACCCGGCCTGGGTGAGGCGGGGCCGGACAAACGACCGAGGTTTCTTGGCCCACCCATCCCAGACACGACCCGTGGGACTGCCATATAAATGCCGATCAGGCCAGACCCCCCTGGCACCACCCCTGGCCTGATCGGCAGTCCTGTGTATGGCAGTCCCATGGAGTGTCTTGGCATTGATTGAAAAGGTGGGAGTCCCCTTGCAAAAACCACTGTTTGAGGATTTTGTTTCGACTACAGCGCCGGGTGAAAGCATTCTTCTTAAGTGGGCAAACGGAAGGCGAACGGGTGTGGACACCCTAGGGCTGGAACAGTGGATTCCAACTATTGATAAGTCACATGAGGGGAATGTATAATATTATATTATATATAGACAATATTCCCATCCAATAGTGCCTGACCGGCGCATTATCATTGGTAGGTCAACACTGAGCAAAACATGGTCAGCAAGTTCATTTGAAACATTAATGGTTATATCATCCTGTTGGTTTGGGAGGGGGGCTCACACTCGGGGTCGACGCCAAAAAGGTTAAAACTATCCCGACGTCTGGTTCTATAGGGATTTTTGCGGCTCAACAAACTTGGGCAACCACTAATACCACTAAATGTGTTTTCCATCAACTCATTTGCTTTCCCGGCTTGTCCAAGAAAAATGGCCAACCATTCAACGGCATCTCTACGGTACAAACATGTCATGGCTTTTCCCGTGTGTGTGCGTGTGTGTTCGTCGTGCACCTCCGGTGGCGGCTGCCCGCCTTCGTCGTGGCGGATGTAGCCCGTGGTGGCCGACACGCCCAGCCCCGGAGGCAAACGGAAGGCGCAGTCGCTGTCTGTGGAGCGGTGCGGGTCCGGTCGCTCCAGCACCAGCAATAGCAGCATGTGGAGCAGCGAGAGCAACAACAAGAGACTTCAGACATTGCCAATACATTTTTTGCTTAACCAAGGAGAACTCACTCACGGTGCAGGTACCTCCCTCGCGTTTTCAACAATTAACATCCCCAACCATGACCTATGGGACTGGCATTTAAAAACTATCTGGCGACATTGGGGCCATAGTTGTAGTAACTGATCCCCTCGGAACTGCATCACCCTGGCAGTGCGGGGTCGTGGCTCAGTCAAGGCCAAGAACAAACAATGAACCTTTGAGTTCTCACCCCGAAATCAATCACTTTCCCCTCCCCAAGCTAAAGGTCCTGGCCTCTCCAATCTGATCCTTCTTGAAGAACAAACTCAAATCCGGCACCCGCAGATGGATTCCGAATCCCAAAACACAGAAAAATCAAATGATCTGAATTGATGGGTTCAACTATTGTGCCCGCAATACCAATCCTGGGTGAGGACTGCATGGCAGGGAGCACACCACTGTGGTGGGGGATCATATGGGATGCTATTCTTCTGTAATCCATCTCAGCCATTGCGTGGTTCATTCCCTACTGGCCCAGTCTGACCCAGTAAAACCTCCACTGAAAACCTCATTGAGTAGAGTGTTTTACATGATCGACTTCACCCTAGGGCTCCTGTCCCATATCCTCAGGTTCGGTGGTTAGACCCCCCTGGCACCCACCCCAACCACCGAACCTCAGGAGGTGGGCCAGGAGCCCTAGGGTCAGTAAAATGAGGTCTAACTATCCCATGTGTTTTTCCATCCAACTCCGCCACCCGATCGGGACCAGCCGCTGTCGCTCCACGTCGGAACCCGTTCACACCGAGCGACCGCATGTCTCCCTGCCCTGCCTGTTCCCAGCGACCGCTCCACACCATCGTTGGGCACCTGAAAGACAGTTGCCAAACCTCTGACCCCCCAACTTTCTTGTTGTTGTCTTCAAAATAAACGTTAACCAAAGGATGTAAACACATATATGCAAGACGTAAGTGGAGATACTGATGTATTTTTGGTGTTGTTGTTTTGTTTAGATTTGGTTTGTCGATGTCCTCCGTCACTACACACCCAGAAGTTGAGATTACCCAAACACGCACTATGGGACTGGCACGGTGGTTTATGAACATATTGGTGCGTCGTCATATATGATTGCTAGTACCGGTTTTGGTGATAACAATAAGTTATAGTGATAACCGCTTACCGACGGTTACACGACACCAAAAAAATATACATACTGTAATTAATAAATAATTATGTTGATTTAATTTGTATATGCGTGCTAACCCCCCAGTGCCCACCTCGCTTGGCAGGTGTTCAGGCATGAATTGTACCAGCAACTGGCATGTTGTAGAAGTTTGGCGGAAATGCTAGATGATATGTCATGAGTTCATTGCAAAGGAAACGTGTAGGCATCTCATAAAAATAAAGCGGACAAATGAGTTGAAACGGTGGAAAAATCAGGTGACATTGTACAAGAAATTATGTGGACTCCAGCGCTATCAGGAAGAGCAGCAAGACCAGGGCACAAATAAAAATAAACATCCCCGGGTGAATTTTAAAAGCACCCAGTTGAGGGGTGCACCAAACGTTTCTATAAAACGATCAAACCAGCCTTGCAGCACAATGGACAGACTATAAAATGTGGGCACCCACCCTCAAGGTTAAAATAGAAATGTCGAACATATTTCTTTATGAAGTCGGAAAGTCTTTATGAAATCAGAAAGACGCGCGTAATTTGTCGAAAGTAATCAAAATAGGCCTTACCCCTGACCTTAGCGTTCTAGAGAAAAAGGCAACACAATTTACAAGTTTTGACTGTTCAAAAAAAACAAAAATTGTCCATACCATGTGTCATACAAATGTTCATATTTTCTAGACATAATATGACTATTCTATACTATTCTTGTGAAGTGAGGACTCGAACATTTGATGATTTTATGCCGGAATAAAAGATTGCTTTACGAACAGTCAAAATATGTTTCTACAATACCCAGCGTAATGGTGTGCAAAACTTGCACTGGTGAACCGGAACCCAAACACAAACAACAACCAACAACAAACGCGAAACGCGACGTCGTGACGGGCAGCGGGTAACAGCTGCAGTCGCGCCTCTTTTACTTGAGCCAAATGAACAGTAAAGCGTCAAGCATGCACACATAGGAGGAGGGTTGCTATACGTGGCAAAACTCAAGCCCCCCCTCATGCTGCAACGCGGCTACTGTGCATGTAGTATTCCAGATCACGAGACAGTGGGTTCATTGGCAAACCACCTGTGACCTGACAATTTAATTACGGCACGAACGAACGTGGGTAGAGGCGCGAGTGGAGCCGAACTGACCCTTGCGTGCGTCTTGGTCCCTGCAGGCTAGGCACTACAGGCTTTGCATCCAGCATTCATTGCACGCAGGGCGCTACAAATCGTGCTTCAACCCTTCGTGAGGACGTCTCCTCGTTGCATCGAAGTGTCTATGTGACTGATATATCAATGTCTTCCGAACCATTGACCACCTCACAGGTAGACGCATCATTGACTCTGTGGTTCTTTGCCAAGTGACGAAGCTTAGCTGAATATCCCTTGGCGGTGATGGCAATCACTGCGGAGTTATCCTCAAAGATTGCGAGCCTGATCGATGGAATGAGAGTCTGCCAAACATGAAGAGTTGGCAGCGCTTCAGAAAACAGCGACGAAGACAGGGACATGAATTCACTTTCAGTCGTGGACCGTGACACAACACTCTGTCTTTTGCTCCCCCAGCTTAGCAAGGCCAAGCTTGACGGTCCAGTCAAGGCCAAAACATACCCCGACGTGGACTTCATGTCTGCGCCGCAGAACAATGAAATGCTTAGCATATCAGGAGGGTCCTGGATTGACATGACTGGTGCATACTCATGAGCGGGCTGCAGATATAACCTATCAAGCGAGCAGTTCTCCGGTCATCATTCACAGACCATGTGGTGATATGCTTTGCAAGAAGGTTTATGATGAGCATTACATCAGGCCGGGAAATCCTGCGCAACCACATTAGTTTCATGACCAGCTTAGCTGCATGAGGTGCAAGTTGACCGCGGGGTTCATCATCTGATGCAATGAGTGAGCCTTCATCCCAACAAGGAGATGCAAAGCTCTTGATTGGATTGTTCGCCAAATCGCTGTAGAGCTGGACACATTGCTTAGCAAAATCCGGAGAGCTTTCTTACCGTCCATCCATACCATACGGTGGTTCCTGCCGAGCACCCTGCCGAACTCAGTGGGAGGGTCAAGGTTGACGTATTCACTTAGTGTACGCCAAAGCTCACCGTGCTTTGACTTCACCCCTGCCAACGTCAAATCATCGACGTATACTGACATGATCAAGGCTTGGCCAAAGTGGAGCACAAATGGCATGTCAGGGAATTCAATCCCGTTCAACTTCTCACGGAGAATCTTTGACAAATGAGCTTGCCAATGGGCGGAGGGCTCAGGGTGTCCGTACAGACTCTTAGAAAAATCCGTGAACGTGAAAGGAATTTGTAACAATTCTGTGCGACTGGTCCTGCTTCGAAAAACAAGAAGGCCCTGCTTGTCACTTGCGCAGGAGCCTGCTCTTCCAGCTCAACTTCTGGATCTCCAATTTCAGGTTTATACGGATCGGGTCTAGCACTCTGTGGCTTACAGCTTTTGAACTCACTCGCCAACATATCCTGCGAACATGTCCCACCACAGATTCATAAGCTTCGTAACTGTAGGCTAATGGACTGGGAGGGATGTGTATTGGATGGGAAAACGTGCATATAGGACGGGTAAAAAGGTGTAAATAGGACGGAAATTTAGGTAGAACAAATTTGTCACCTGGGGCTTTTCTTCAAAACATGAAGCCCTGCCGGTTTGACAAGCTCTGAATCTCTTGAGGGAGCAGCGGGCGCCACTCCTCTGGGATGGACACACACTTCAACACACGAAGGTATCTCACTACTTCTGACATGGCTGCATGTTCACATGTGTCACCGTATGATAGGCTTTGGAAGTGCAATATGGCAAAAATGGCTACAATCAGAAAACATGCATTTAAAATTGACTGTGGCGTCTTTTTCTGAAAGACGTGTAGTGCACAGAAATTTATGAATGCATTATTTCGGAATGATTTGAGGTTGCAGGTGCGTATACCTACAGACTCCACTGGCATGAACATTTTGATGCCGCTCAGGAAAAACCAGGTTTTGAAGACATGCCGCGACTTTTTTGGGGTTGCGGCGTGTTTCTAGGATTGCGGCATTTTGACTCAACTCGGGGTCTGGACCTCAAGTCGAAAAAATCAAGCATATAATGCAGCGTTTTTGACAATGTTTGCGGCGTGTTTGCCCGAGTTTGCGGCGTGTTTGCCCGCGTTTGCGGTGTGTTTGCCCGTGTCAGTGTGCAGTGTGTTTTTGTGAAGCTTGCTCAAAGCAAGTCGCGGCGTGTTTCTGGGAATGCAGCGTGGTTCTGGCCAAGCGGCGTGTTTCTTCAATTGCCGCACAAAAATCAATGTTTTGTCATGACGGCGGAAAGACACGCTGCAGGATTCTCTAGGTATGTATATTAATATATATATATATCAATGATATATTCCACTGGAGTGACTGCGTTAGGACTCAAGGTTGACCGGTGGGCCGGACTTGTTCTGCAGGTCCCCGAAATCCATCGACTGACGAGTGCATTGCGTGCAGCCACTTGGATGAGCTTAGGGTGTATAAGGGTTGGAAAGCTACGGTGATTGCTCGTCCTTCGTGACGAGGCTATAGCCCTGTGTCCGGGAACTAGGTGATCGGTCAAAGAGCAGTGTTTGAATTCGCCGGGCGAACCGGGCGGAACAGGCGAAAGTTAAACATTTGTAAGGTGATCCAATCCAAAACTAAAGGTATTTGTGTCCAACAACCACGTTCACGTTGCATAAAATCGTTCGTGAACTGGCCATAAATTGAATGACCGCCATTTGTGAGCCAACCCTGTCTTCTCCTTAAAGCCTCCATATCTTTTACATCAATTGCATGGTGTCGGCTTTAGACCATAGCATCACGTGACCATTGTCATCCGTTGTCCGGTGTACAAACCCTCCTGATACCTGCAAGAACCTCATAGAATTATACAACTAAAATATAAATCCGCCGACCCCACACCGTGGGGTGAGGCGTGACTGTCGATGTTAGCCTTAGCCTTAAGCCTTAGCCTTAGCCTTAGGCCTTATCCTTAGCCTCAGACCTAGTCCTTAGCCTTAGACCTAGACCTTACCTCCCCTACCCCTCCGGACCCTTGTTGCAGTGACGAAATCCTGCCCTAAAAGCGACCGGATGGTGACCTGGATTGTCCAAGATTCTGCCATCCCAATTGATTTACATCTTGGGGCACCCTCTCGACCCGCGCGGGAAAATAAGCACGGTCCAAAATGGTCCTGGGCTCGAATCCCGGGCTGGTCGCGGCATGGTCCCGGCCAATGCCCTTGCTTTTTCGTAGATTTTGTCACGTTTTTTCTGTTGGTTTATGAGATTTTCAAAGGCTTTTCTGGCATTTTCCTAGGAATGCTCTAGGCTTTGTCTTTTTGGGTACCTGCTTTGGTGGTGCTGGGTTGGGTCTAAATTGGTAAACCTGGGAGGTACCCAAAAAGTCGACTTTTTGGGTACCTGCTTTGGTGGTGAAGGGTTGGGTCTAAATTCTTGGGCAATGATCGGGGTTCATGCAAGAGCTGACGTCCGATGGTAAATCTGGGAGGTACCCAAAAAGTCGACTTTTTGGGTACCTGCTTTGGTGGTGCTGGGTTGGGTCTGCACTCTTAAGGCTAAGGCTAAGGCTTAAGGCTAAGGCTAACATAGAGCAAGGCTAGCGCTAAGGTTCTATCCCTTGGGGGTCGGCGGCTGCAGGCGGTAGCCTGGTAAATCCGGGCGCCGGCCACGCGCCCGTGTCCTCGCCGGAGGCCTTCGGTGGTAACCGAAGGTTATAGACGGTCGCGCCGGCTGCCGCCAACTTGTCATATATGGCCTTTGATAAGAAACTTATATGTCCACCAAGATCCTGTCGTCAACTTGCACGGCCTCCCCAGAGTTAACCTTTCTTGCTCCATGGTCGCGACCCGCGACCCTCCCAAACCCCGCACATTTGTGTGCTGAGAAAAATCTTTGGGCTCCACACATGCATCACCAATTTGAAGGCCAAATGAGGATCCTGGCACAAAAAAACATGCTCTACGGTGTCTGATGGCACATGAGCTGATGGTATGCTGATATCTGATAAATAGGTACCAAATATTGCCCAAATTGACGGCTATACCAACATAATTATATACAGTGCTCAACCTGAGTATGTGGAACAGTTCCCTCAAAGGTGGTAAAATAGATCCGCTTCCGAAGATGTCTTTTTGACTCCATTCCCCATCGTCACGGAAAACGGGTGTCGTGCAGTGCAACACAAGGTAACGAATGCGTGTGTTGAAATTTGGAGACCATCCCAGTTCGGCCCTGGAAGAATTGAACATAAGCCTGTCTACATCTGTCTACCCAGCCAGGGCCTGGGTGTCTCCCTGTTAAGATGCACACCCATATAGTCAGTCGCCATGTTTGACGTTTGGTGCAGGTACACGTTTGATGTTTGGGTCGAGGGTTCCGACCCCGTACATGAACCAACCTTGAAGTCAAACTGCACATGTCATACACCTTCCATCTTCCTATATGGATCATACACATGTATATGCTTCAAGCATGCTTGACCTACCCAACAAAAGAGAAACCTCATCCTTCAAGTTCCCATCATTCTTCCATGCTTCGGTGCTTCTTGGATCGCCTCGGAGTAGTTGGCCAAAAAGGGCAACGGCATCTCGTTCATGTCGTGGGACCTGTGTCGCTGACGAGCGACTCGCGACGAGGTCCCAGGGACCGAGCGACTCAACATCCCAGGACCACCCAGTGGGTAGTACTACCATGAGCTCAAATACCAATACGTGTCATATATTGGGTCTATCCTATTGCCTGTAACAGTGGATGGTGATGGTTAGGTACCAGGCCTGGTTCAACAAGAGCGACAATTGTTTACTGACTGTTGCAGGCAATAGGACAGCTCCAAGTCAGATATACATTGGTCCAATGAAATGAATACCAATACCATCCAAAAACATCCAAAAAGCCCTAAAACATTAAAAAAAAAAACAACGACACATCCAGGTCCCTAAGGTGTGAAGGGTAGTGCATGTTCATTGGACAATTGCACACCCATTTCTTGCTCGTATGCTAGGATTGATGATTAAAACAACTCGTCATTAAATTCCATGATGAGGCCTAGAGTTATGCTGGCTTCGCTGTGGGTTCGAGTGGTGCGAGGATTTGTCATCAACAATCACCAAGGGAATGCACTGGAAAACCTCCGCCAATAGTCTGTCCCCCCTCGCTCCTCCAAATGAGTCATTGCATGGATATTTGCATTACTGTAATATTACACACCTGGACTGCCCTGGCTGGACTACCCGACACTACTAAGTAGTCACTACTTAGGGATCTCTAGACTCTAGACTGGACACCCATTGCTCCTGGTTTGTATTTATATCACTCCCCAGGGCTCCTGGCCCACCTCTGTAAGGTTCGGTGGTTGGGGTGGGTTTTTGGTGTCTAACCACCGAATGTGAGGAGATATCCCTAGGGCTCAAATTATGTCTTCAGGTGGTTAGACCCCCAAAACCCACCCCAACCACCTTCTCGGGAGGTGGTTGGAGCCCTAGGGTATATTATCTTCCAAAATCCTCCAGTCCCATGCTGAGGATGCTTTTGGCCGATAGCATGGTCCAAAGCATGATCTGATGGGGGAGTTCAGGCCACCCCTGTCAGAAGGGTTCCGGGGGTTCGGGAGCGGCCGAAGTCGGAGAAGAGTTGGGTCCAAGTGGTGAAATGGTCAGTACCAAGATCATATCACGTGCAATCCACACAAATCTCACACAGGGAAAGTCTGATCATTGAGACAGGGATCTGAAACATAGTGCACGATTCTTCCGGTAATCACATAGCTATTGGAAGTTGTATATGTCAGGAAGTAACTTTATATTGTGGCATGGATAATTGAGAACATTGTGGCGCACGTATCGATTTCATGTTTAAACATAATTTTGTTAGTTTAAAGAACTCCGCAAGTATGAACGAGTTTCCACAAAGCTTGCCACTTAGGATGGTTGCATGAGGGCCTACTGTCAACTTGCTGGCTTTGCCATCCAAGCTGGACTTCTGACTTCTGCCGTGGCCCAGCAAACCGAAGTTCCATGTGGCTTGAACGGAACATCCATTCGTACAGTAATTAGGTTTGGGTTCGCAACTCTGGATTGTCATGACTCATGATTGTTGATCTAGCAGTCCCAGACTGATAGATTGAGAATGTTGGGCTGGTAACCATCATCGTGGATTGAACCTATTGTGGACAGCCCATTGGCTGATGGACATGGTTTCCTGTGGATCGCTGGTGGCTCTTCATGTGGCTGTTGCGTCGCGTGTGCTCATTAGAAACCGTGCATGAACACCTAGGCCGAACCAGGAAGACCTACATTCAAACCGAAAGAAACTCAGTTAATATCTTCTAGTGCCTTTGCACCTCTGAGCAAAGCTCCTTAAAGGGATGGGTGGTCAAAGGCTGACGTAAATTGTCATTCTCAAGGGTCTATTTTGATTAACTTGTTGCCAACAAGGTAAGGAGAGAACAGCAGGTTCTACCACGGGCTCAAAAGTGAAGATTATGTGGGAAGGTGCCGGACCTTGCCCATGCCTGTTCAAAAACACAGTGGAGCAAGTTTGGCTCCCTCGTTTCTACATGGGGCTGCTGATCTCAGCATCAGTCATAAGTTTTAACTTTATATTTTGCGATCATTTCTGTGCACACACATTTTTATGTTATCAGTTATCAGTCGTCAAATGTGACTGGGGAACAAGCAATGTGCATCGCCAAGGTTACAAATACATCAATATGCAGTCATGACCCAACATCCCCTGTGACGAGAGACCGTCAGAATGGTCTTGGAACTTTCCTGACTGGGTCGGTCTTGAGATGAAAGTTCATGCTGAGATTGGCCCCCGGAGGACTTGGGATAACAAAAATCCACTGCTTTACACTAATCAATTATATACTCCCCCCTCCAAATTACTTGTTACCCATGTTACCCGCCTGCTCCCGTCCGTACCACTGATTCTTGGCACCCCGCCCGTAACTCGCCTCGCCCACGGCCCACTCCAGCCGCCCCCACTGCCGCCCACCCGTCCACTCGCCGCGCGACGCGATCGTCACGAAGTTCCCTCGGCTCCCGGGCGACAAGAGGAAACTGGACCTCTTCGAGCGCTTCCGCCGCTGCTCCGTCGCCTTCTCGCGTTCGATTAGGGAGGGGTGGTTCGGGTGGGCGGAGGGAGCGGGCCGAATTCGTCGCCACGACGACGGTCATTGGAGTGGGCTGAGAACGAACCAGGATCAGAATCGTAAACAAGCGAAGTCATTGTCCTGGTCCTAGGGCAGGAACGCTCAGTTCGGGACTATCAACAATCACAACCATAAAGGGGCAAAGCAGGGTATTTGGGAATCCGAACTGCAGTGGAAAGTGGCAGCTGGACCCCCAAAGGAATGACATCACATGCCAAGAAACATGCTCGCGAGGTCACGAGCCCGGTGTGCTTTCAGAATTTGGGGGGCATCTGCAAGGTAAGCTCATGCATCTCTCCTTGGTCCACCCCAGCATGAGAAGGGATGGTTTCCTGGCAAACTCCAAGCACCTTGCAAGCCTAGCTGTGAGACCAAGCAGCTACACTCCCTGAAATCATGGTCATGTTTGGAAAACAGTCATCCTTTCCGGGCCATGCCATCTGCTTCCATGAGTGTTTTTCAGTGTTCGCGAGTGTAGTTTTAACCACACCACCGTTTCCGGACTCGAGGTCTCACCTCCTGGAAGTGAACCCAATCACGCCTGGGATGCGAGCGAGCGAAAGGGTCATGGCTCGCTGAGCATCTAAAGAGTTCGAACACAAGTGGTTAGGGAAAATGAAAGCGCCAAAGCTACTTGGTTCCCTCTACAAAGCCATCTGCATCCAAAAACTAAATGATTCTCTCTCTCTCTCTCTCTCTTTGTCTCACTCCCTCGCTCACTACTCGCTCACTCACTCGTTCATGCACTCGCTCACTCTCTCACTCTCGTCATGCACTCTCTCCATGATCCGAGACACGTTTCCACGGCAAAAATGGCTTTGCTGGCTTCCAGATTCTCTTGAATCTGTTGCGCTGCCTCGAGGCTGGGCTGGGGCCAATCTGCTGGGCCGCTTGGACATGTGAGATCTATGTTGATTTTGAATACATTTGGGCATATCATTAGATCCAGGGCTCGGATGATGATGGTTAGGTTGCAGGCCCTTCGAAAATCAGGTATATATTATATATATATATATAGTAGTTTACTGACTGCTACAGGTACCGGGACAAACCGAAGGTGTATACAGTATTATATGATGGAGTGTTTCTTCCTGCTTGCAGCTTGCAGTAACCCCTCAAAGCGGGCTCAGCTGGGTGAGGCAAACCTCACCTGCTTCGTTCAGTCTCCTATAATCCATTCAGCCTCGACCAATCCACAAACGGACTGACATATGGACTGATCAAATGGGTGCTTTCGGGGGCCTATGTAGGATTATGTAGGATGATTGATGCCTATATTCCAGTGTTTGGATGTACACCGTAGATGTGTATATGCAGTCAATGATAGTCAATGAGTGTTTCACGAGCTGGGTCAGGTCCCCCACAAAAAATAAACACCACGGTACCATCATCACTCAACTAATGTGAGCCCGCTTGATCATGTTAAACTTGTCTGTTTTCGAAAAAAGAACGGGGTGTGGGGACAATGAATAACATAGACGGGCCTTGCTTCATGTGATGGGCCCCACCAAATGCGCAACTCACTAGTCCGACTTGGCCTCATCATCGTGCTTCTCCTTTGCCTGGTGCTCTGAGTGCTCGACACAAACAAGGTTATGGTGTTCTACAGCACAATGGCATGACTCTTCGTGGCTGTGGTCTACAGTCTACAAGGTGCTAGCAGGGTTGGGTCCAAAATGATACCCTCCGACGAACACATCACATGGAAATTGAAAATGGCCTTTGGGGTGTCCACTTCCATGTTAGTGAGTCGGAGTGTAAAACAAAACATCCGGTACAGAAAGGTGAAAACCTTCACTCCGCAAAAATGTGGCACAAACTAGCTCTGGTGACTCTGCTGCTGCTTAAGTCTGGTGCCTATCCTGTTACAAGGAAGCAGTGAATCGATTTGCTGTTAGAGTCTGCCGCCTTAATATCCCAAAGGACCTTGAGAATAGGATTATATAATCCAAAACAATGTCGTTGCTCTTGATGAGCAATCACCTGCATCGCATGTCATGAGAACACCAAGCTTCTCCTAAATCCACCAGCACTCTCCGCATCATCTACGTCCTGAGCCACATGCTAGAATTCATCTACAGCACCTCATGTCAGCTATTTCTATTTGCGTCCTGCCCCACTCTCCTAGCCTCCTCCCAGGTGTCAACTCAGTACTCCCTGGGCTGGATCAACGCAGTGCTCCAAGCGAACCAGCTGAAGCTGACCGGGTCTCGAGAGAAAAGGGCTCCACCGGAGCCATCCAGTGTAATCCGGTCGTGTGGGCCGGTCGGAGCCCTGAAAACCAAGCCTGTTCCAGCTGCTTCCGGAGCTCTTGGATTTCACTCTTCAGCTCCTTCACCAGGGCGTCCTGGCGATGAACCCGGAACGGATGGTGTCTATCCCGGAATGGCATACTGACCTGACCCCAGGAGAAACAAAGGTAGGAACTGGATGGAACTGGGATGAGCTGGGTGAAGATGGTGAAGTGTCACCTTTTGAGCACCTTATTCATGGTGAGGAGGAAAAGACAGCCAGCTAGCAAACCACGAAGCAAGTTTGGTGGAACTTCCATCTGATGGTCATGTCAGCCCGTGGCAAGTGTTTGAGTATGTTGATCCGGGGGAGATCTCCTATATACATAGGGATGCCCTGCCCCACAAAACATTGGCCTACACATGCCTACAGGACTCCCGACCCGAGCACTCCGCGTGTCAAATCCCTGAATTGAATATCTTCCACTGTTTAGGGACTGAGCTGAACTTATATAGCTTAAAGTTTAAAAATGTTTGATCCAGCTTTGGCCTGCAACCATGCCCAACAACAATTCCTGGGCAAACCCGCCCTCCACAAGCACAGGGCAACCCTCCCCAACGGTGCCATAAAAGTCAGCAGCTGTGGACCCCCAGCTACTGAATACATCGATCCCCCAAAAGATATCCACCCCACCATGGAGCTAGAATCTTCCAATCCCATCCCAAACACTCCATGGGACTGGCATATTTACATACATCGGGGTGGTTGAAGTCGGGGTCAATGTAGGCATATATACCAGTCCCATGGAGTGTCTGGGCATTGTTACTTTCAGATCTTTTGCGGCTCGGCTGGGCTTGTCTGCTCAAAAATCCGCGCCCGCCGCGTGCGGCCACGTGGGCCCGGGACGCTTCGCTCCTTGTCCACGGCTTTGGTCGCCTTGGCCTGGACTTTGATGGTTTTCACCGTGCTGGCGAACCTGGGAGGAGGCGCCAATGGCGAGGCGAGAGGCGACCGGTTTTTCCTCCGAGATGGCGGTTTCACGGCGATCTGGAGAGGTTGATCAGGTGGATGAAGGTGGCAGGTGGGTGGTAGCAGGTGGAGGAGATCGGTGGGGTGGAGTAGTAGAGATTTGGATGGAAAACATATGACTTTGGACAGTAGAAAGCCCTCAAATCCAGTATCAAGGCATTTATTGTTGGTACGTCCGTACCCTCCATGGTGCAGTTTACCACAGCTGCAACTGAATTGGACGACTTTTCGGAATGCCTGCCAATCCATAGCCCAGCTGGATGGCAGGGCCCCTTGGGTAACCCTTTTCCTCTACAAACAGGTGGTTTTCAACTTCCATGATTCTTATTTTTTTAAGTGTCATGACTCATGCAATGGCTGAGATGGTGACTCGAAGTGTACGTCGTCCGCATCATCGCCATGTCACCCAGGAATCTGTGGATAGCTTTCATGAGCCGCTAGCGCCGTCCAAAGCGCCCACCCCCGGTCGTCTAGTGCATCCAAAAAGGACTGGGACGAGGTTGGAAGAAGCATTCACACTCAAACAGCCCATCCATCATCCATGTGACCTATATAACTATATGACCCATCCAATGGGTGTCACAATGGCGGCTGCCCCCCAAAAAGAGTACTCTGAAAAAAACGGAGCCCAGTTCTGAGCAGCCGCGCTTCAGTGTATTGTGGCTCTCTTCGAAGTTCGAAGGCTCAGCGGGGCGAAAGAGGCTGGCACGGGTGAAGCGCTGAAGCGCTCGGCACGTGAGGCACTGGTTTCACCACAAGTCAGCGACTCTGTGGTTGTGCTGTGCCACTCACTGGTTGGGGGACAATTCCAAAAGCACTGCCCATACAAAAATCACATGCATCACATCTCTTGGCAAAAGGGATCAAAAGGGCACCAAGATAATGCCTTGAACTCACATCGCTGAGGCTGCAGCTGCAGGGCTCAAAGTGCCAATCATGGAGGTCCGGGAATTCCCCGACAAGGCATTGGACAACAGCCTCCGGTTGGACGTCGAGGCGATGGCCAGCCGATGTGCGAAACCGCCCGCGTGGAACGCCGATCGAAGGGTTGGAGTGTTGGAGTGTTGCATCGGTCCATCCACACTGGAGTCTCAGTTCGTGCCTGCAAACATGAGTACGTACTACCATGAAAATCCATGAAATATGTAGTAAACATAGGTTTTTCCCATTTTCTGGGGTACTTGAAGTCGGGTCCAGGCAGTGCACATCCAAAGTGCGCCATCACCCGGCCACATGTCCTCCCCCCGCCCTCGTCTTCGGCCCCAGTGGCAAGGTCAGCTTCGAGTTCCGGAACCTCGGTTGGTGGCGAGGTCGGGGGTGCTATCCTCGAGTAAGATGAAAACTCGAAATGCTCAGTGAGGTGGCTTAACCAAAAAAAAACATGTTCTTGCAATAACCTAGTAGGTTCCTTTATAGATCCCTTATACTACCTTATACTGTATAGATTTGCAGGGGGAAGTGAGTGGATTAGATCTACCATGATCTACCTACTCAGTCCCCTTTTTTGTTCAAGGAACGTGCATTGAAAACATGACCAGCCCACAGTCTTGCACCCTTTTTGGTCAAAATCCAAGAAGAAAACATGGCTGGAAGCGACTGTACGTCTGTCCTGCCCTCCTGGACGTAGACGAATCCATATAAATATGTGATAATACATGGAGTGTCTGGGATAAGTTCTGGCAGGAAACCTTGACCACATTGATTGTGGATCAAATTGGACTCCAGCATGCATCCCACTCCTACCGTGGCTAGTTGTAGCACGGCGTTTTGATTAATGCGTTTGGACAACTGTTGTATCACAGAAACCGTCTTCCAGATTGCTTCCCATGATTTCTCCAAGAAGTTGGCCTGTGACACGTCAAGTAGAATGTAGAATGGATAAAACATGATAAACCTACCTTATATGACTTGTCATGTATGAGAAAAAATTAAGGCTTCCCCTATGAACGTATAGATCAGTTCCAAACCAGGGCCGCCCGGAATCCTTCCGTCTTCCATCCCGACCTTACGCCCATTCCGATGTTCCGACATGCCCCAAGCGACTTGGACATGTCATTGGGCTGGACCGGCGGAGCCTTCTTGGTGCTCGACCTGACCGTCGCGTCCGCGTCGCGTCCGCGTCGCGTCGCGTTCGTCGCCACGGGAGACGCTCCGGACGATGTGAGTGGGCCATCCCAAACCATGTATGGAGTCATCAATGGGGCAACTGCACCAGCACCTTCCAATGCAACGTCCGGAGTCTCCAATGGACTACCTGATAAAAGTACAAGATCTGTGGCTGTCCATTGAACACCCCGACACGAAGGTCCAGGTCAATCCATGTAAATCCAAGTGCGGTATGAACTATTCCATGGATCCATGGATGATCTGGTTATAAACAAAAAAACCTGTTGGAAAAAGGAAGTCAGTGGATCAGAACTTCCACTAGGTATCCACATCTCCTCAACAGGTCTTTAGGATGTGTGTGCCTGTGGGTTTGTGCCAACCTGGAGAAAAGGGACCAAAGCGCCCCAAATGTGGAATGGATCAAGTGGACACTCAGCAGCGGCTGAGAACACTTAAACACATCTTCAAATTTATGTCGTTGTGTCCTCAATCTAAACGGCCATGTGCATGTGCTTTTGGAAGATAAGGTATGCTTACAGTCCACCCTTCAGGTTCAAACATATTTAAAAATAATATACCCTTTCATTCTATAGAGTTATCAGAGAATGACCCAAAACAATCATTGAGTCATGCAATCATTCATGTGCCCTGAACCCGCTGACCGCCCTTTCCCCGAGAGACTCTCGAGTCCCCTGTCGGGTCCCCTGGCGGCTCGGTGAGACTCCTGCGGCGCTTGGGCGCTTGACCCAGATCACGGATGCAGTTGGCCAAGTGATGCAGGCCTCGCTGCCGCGGACAGCTCATCCATCCACGCGCGGTTTTTGTTGAACGAAGGAACGGCATGAATTCATGCAAATAAACAGGAACGACCTCCATGCCAACGAACTCATGCCTTTGAAGAGGCCGGAAGAACATGTGCTGTTTTCAGGTTGTTCATGTTTTTCTCATGTTTATATTTGTTAGATGCGATGTTGTTCAATGGGCAAGTTGGCAAATCGATTACAAAAAGGCTGGCAGCACATAGACCCAAACATTCACAACAACTCTCCCAGCCCCCAAAGTTGACTAGAAGAAATACACTTAGGATCAATTAGGATGACGTCAGTTGTATTTAATGCCCAGCATACTGATTCCTTGCTTGGTGGCAACATGTTCATCATCTTCATCTAGGCAATGTTGCGCCTTGCGCGCCGGCTGCCTTCCAACGATTCCAACACTCGGGATCTGTGACCACACTGACTGACTCCCTCAGTTCGTGCGTCTGATACCTACTCCCAAACCAGTGTGCAAACCATGCTGTGACTTCCAGCGACCTGAACACGCGGTGGGCTGATAGAAGAGAGAGGATTGCAAAGGGTGCTCTTCTTGCGAAACGTGCCTCAACATGTGCAAACCTAGCGCTTTCACACAGGTTGCTCCATGCTGAAAGGGACATGCCAGCACCATCATTGTCCTGGCTGACTACTCTGACATACACTGACTATACCTATATAGGGATCTCCAAACAGGACACCGCACGCAAAGAACGCAGAGAACAGCCGCAGCAAACGCCGAGCGGCTCTTGTTGATGAAGCCCAGCTCAACGAAACGTTCCCCAGTCACCTGTGCGGGCGGAGATCCTATCCCCAGCGCCCGGAGGTACAGCGGCACAGCTGTTACTAGTTGCCAAGTGAGGTTAAGTAACCGTCAAATAGGACCCGTCACCTGGGCCCGGGGTACCTCTCTCTCTGTCTCTCTCTCCCTTCTAAGTCGAGGGTCTGGGGGACATTGGTGGCTGGGTTATGTCGGGCATCTGCTCTGGCTAGACCTTCATGTCCACTTCGGCTCTCGGGCGCCACGAGCGCTTTTCCAACGAAATGGTCATGCAACATGTCTGCCTTTCAGGCTAGCTTGATAGATGCCACGGCAGAAACCTTTAGGCACCGTTGGAAGATCATAAAAGGTGTTATACACAAATTACCTCCACATCACGTCATTCCAATGTTTAAAAAAAGAAACTGCCTTAGATAGGCCCCTGGGCCCCCCTCAATTACATATACGAATTATCATTAAAGGGTACATACCTGATTTGGGGGAATTTACTCGAAGCGTGTCTTGACCTCGACTCGTTTTCTATACATGTTGCAGGTCGGGCCCCCCCTACACCCCCGACACCCCATCGACACCTGACAAACCCCTCTGTCTTAATTTCAGGTGGCAAACCCCCCACCCACAGCCACGCCAACGTCATACGTGAGCAGCGTATGAGAAACCAAGCAGGAAAGTGGCCACCGCATGCAAACCAAGCAGGAAAGCAGCCATCACACTCAAAACCAAACAACAAAAATTATATAATTCAGGGGGGTGTTGGACTCTGGGGGAGGGGTCGATCAGTTTTAGTACACTGGGAACATTAAATAAAACTTATAGTCTTAGAGTTATACACTTAGACCCTGAATATTCTGAAACTCGCATCGACGTCCTTAGTTACTTTGGTTATCTTTGGTTCATCTCTCTCTCTCTCTCTTTCTCCCACCCCGGCCCTCCGTGATAATTAATTGAGGGGTGTGCGACCTCTCCACCACCTCTTGACTATTTCTCTAAGTAGACATGACCCTAGCTTGATCCAAAGTACACTGGGAAAATGTAGTTCTTTTTATCCGACTTAGGTGTTTCCCAAAATTGTCGACAAGGTGTCGGAGAAAAACACATAATTGAGAACAACTATTTCGTCTGCAACCACCCCCTTCAAATTAATTATTGGAGGGGTCATACATCAAAAACTCCAAATATGCCGTCCGTCCTGGCCCAAACACCCCAAACAGCCCTCCACCTGGGTGTCCTTCTCGTTCTCGCGCCCGGCCAAATCCGCGAAGTAGACCTGGTCGCCGCTCCGAGCTCCACTGCGCCGAATGTTCGATGCTCTTCACTTCGTAAAAACAACAATGAAAAACACAAAAAAACATGGTCCGTCATTTTCACCATGGACATTTTGTAGTAGAGGATGAAGTTTAGGGTTTCGAACATGGTCACAAACACTTCCACCCTTAAGATCCCTTGCAGAATCTGATCCCGAACGCAGATTTCGGGTCCAGATCCCTGGTGTTTCAGGGGAGAAGGCCGTAGACTGTCAGACTGTCCGATGAAAAATACATGATTTATCATGGAGATGTAAAACATTATATCCCTAGGGTCCCTAGGGCTCCAACCACCTCCTGAGAAGATGGTTGGGGTGGGTTTGGAGGGTCTAACCACCGAACCTGAGGATATGGTTGGAGCCCTAGGGTATAAACCATTCTGACAAGAGGGCTTTTAGTTCATCAAAAGTCGACATTGCGTTGTCTGTTTACAGTAGTCGCCTAAGAGTATGCACCCCTCCAGTAGTCCCTGACCTTACCCAAAAAGCTCAAAGCTCGCATCCCCAAAGTGGCCCTGATTTGGAACTTAGTTCCCCAACACTCCATGGGACTGGAATAGTTTACATACCTGGTACCCTCGAAAAGCCCCGAAGAGTGATAATTATCACTCCGGAAAGTGGTGTGACAAGTGACAAAGAGGCACTCCAAAGTCAGGAGTGAAAAACCAAACATGAACAAGCATTGTAATTCCTTGCGTCCGGATTGTGTTCACAATGTGCTCACTTTGCATTCGAACAACAGTCGCTTTGCGAAACGCTGCCGAGCAGCAACAACAACAACAATTCTGGAGATTCTGGAGCAACTATTCTCACTCCCGAATGCTTTTTGTCACCCCTTGCTGGCCCAAAGATTGATACCAAGTAGATCAAGGTCATAAGTGAGTACAGTAAATGTAGGCAACTATTTGTTCCATGTCCATGCATGGATGGTTTAGGGGTTAGAACATCACCTTTCGTCCGGCGGCCCGTGGTCATATCATACGCCTCTGCGTTGGAGATCTGATTGTCCTTCCCGCCCTGGCGTTTCGGGTCTGGTCGGGGGCGGTTCGGGTTTGGTTCAGTTCATTCCCAAACACTCTATCTATAGCGTGAGTCTATATGATTCTCATGATTTCTACCTATATTGGTGCACTAGGAGTCAATGTAGTCTGGGATTGATCACTCGGTCAGTTATTCTCCCTCAGCCAGTCGTCTTTTGCAAACCACTCACTCGCCTTTCTAAAGCACCAATTGGATCACTGGTCCGTCCGTGGTTGGCAAAACACCCCAGTTTCATTCGAATGCGAAGCTCCACGGACCCCACGGGATGCCCTCGTTCCGAGCCTCCCAGTGCAGCACTTCTCACTTCTACCCGCACCCAGTGCATCCCAGGCAGTTCCCACGAGTAGTAAGGAACCAGGGATTCGTTTGATCTATGGTTTTAGTCGTTGCCTGGAACCACGACGGGACTCCCAGCGAGCTCTCGTGGGAATTGCCTGGATGCCCTGTGCCAAGAATCAACCGCCGTTGAATCTGACAGCGTCCTATCTGGGGGCCACAACTGGGGCAGTCCCCTTCAGAAACCCTGGATTCTTCCGGCTGTGGTCCTTGACATCTGGGATCATGCCTGGGACTGGGCAGTTCGACTTCTCTCTGATTGGAAACTGGACAAGAACACCCAGAGTCCACCCCAGCCACTCCCGGCTCCCGGACCTGAGTGAACATTTTCAGCTTGCAAATGGTGTGGCCGCGAGAACTCTGCGCGTTCATCGCGGTGGCGTGCACTACCTGGCGGTGGCCCGGCGAGGCGCGACTTCCAAGTTGGTGAGGAGGGAAAACCTGATTACCTGGAGTCACATGTCGGAGTGGTTTTTAGTCCCATCCAGTTAGTGGAGTAGCTGGGCAACCCGACTGCCTCCATTCAGCACCCCGTCTTGTGACTGCTGGTGCCCGTGTTTCATTGGAAAACACCTGGTCTGCTGGTCCGCTGGGTGGTGCCAACATGTTTCAACATCGAACAACATGTCGGTTAGCTCGTGGCATCTTACAGTACCCCTGGAGAAGGTCGTTTCGACCCTCACTTTGCCCAAAGGGCAGCCGTGGATCCATCGCGAATGGGGATCGCGGGTCTTGGCCACACCACGCCCCATCAACCATTCGTTCGGTTCATCCCGGTGTTCCTAGGACCACGACGTATACGGCGCGGCATGTCTATGGCTGCCTAGGATCTACTGATGCATCCATGTCTTGGGTTCCTTGATGTTCCTTGTGGGTCTTGGATATGTCTTGCAGGACTCCCCGATGCCTCACCTTCCAACTCCTAACCACCGTTATCACCCAACCACTGCGAGCAAATCGATCTTAGCGAGCTGGGAAGCACAACATGCCAGATTTCAAGCACCCTGAATCGCGGGGGCTCAGCAAGTGTGCAACTGTTTCACAAAACATTGAGCCGAGTTTGCGTTGGTTATGAAGAAAACACAGGAAAACGACAATATATAGTAGTCTATATAGTATTGTATTTCAACCAACGAGGTTGTCGACAAGAATACTGCCAAACACCAGGATCTGAGTTCTCATCTTTTTTTGCCCCCTTCAGTGCGAAAGCTGGTCCTTTCTCTCTCTCGGCCTTCATGGTGTTGCCAAAACCAATCCTCAGGTGCGAGAATCGGAACGCACTGGTGGTTCACAACCGGAACCTACGCGCCTTCTCGGTGGAGTTGCACCAAGGAGTGGAACCTTCCAAAAAGGCCCGAAGAACAAACAATAACACACACACACACATTCCCACCCAGGAGTCACAAATGGGGTGGTTTTCAGTCACCACCTGCACTGTTGGTCACCCATTGGTTACCACTTGTGTCAAGTGGGCTGGGCAGGTCTGCACCGCGCCCCGCCAGTCTTGGGGCCAGTCGCCCAGGAATCCCCGCGTGTGGAAAAAACAAGAGAATCCAAGATGGCCCCCTGCCGCGAATCCTGCCCAACAATGGTCCAGTGTAGCAGGCCTATAGCTTCTGGACATTCTTCTTGGGCTCTAGACCTTCTTAAGCTACGTATGCCACTGAAGACATAGCATTGGCGTGCATTTGCAGCGTGCCTGACGCACCCGGTGCCCACAAACCACCAGAGGTGGTTGATGTGGACCCCCATCTGTGCCATGGAACCTCTGAAACCTCTGTACCATGACACAAAAGGCCCTTGGCACAGACCTGCGGTTGAGGGGCCACCATAGTACAGACCCTCTTGGCACAGACCATGTGCCCCAAAACATGTTTGGCCTGCTGAGAAGCCGAGACCGTCCCACCCTCGGCCGCGCTCACCCGTCCCAGCCACGTCTTGATGCACTCCTCGGCGGTGGACACCTGGTGGGCTCTGCCAAAGCCGTGACCCTTTTGGACAAAAGACTCCCTTTGGACCGGGGCTTTTGAGGCTCAAGGTCAAGCTCAAGTGCACCTTGACCTTGGACCAGAGCTTGATCAGGTTTGACCTGGTTCCTTGGGTGACTGAAGGGGAACTCTGGGCAAGAAGTGCCCAAAACCTTAAGAAGTTGGCAGGCCTGACTGCAAGCCTGGCAAGCGCCAAAGATTCAATCATGAGCGCAACCGATTTAGTTGGCATCTTCAATTTTTGTCTGGGTCGTTGCATCACAAAAAGGTTTTTGCCCTGTCGTCTACCAATAACACGTTGCGAAAAGTGGATCACATGGCTCTTTGGATGACCATGCTCCTCTTAAATAAATAGGTGGTGAACTCCAGTTCCCTGTTTTTGCAACTTGGATTTGCTTAAGGAACCGAGAACACATCTCAACGAATTCTTGCCTGCCTGGTTCTTCAAAGTGACCGTACTTGATAACCTGGTTGGTTCGGATGGTTCGGTCACTTAAGCCTCCAACAGGGTCACTTTCTCGGAACCTTCAAAAGGTCACGTACCTCACGAAGCTGGCGGAAGGCCCAGCAACAAGTTCGATGCTGGAGGCCCACCAGACTCTCGGCGGCCGGGCTTGGGGTGGTCCGGAAAGCACTGAGAAAGCCGAGAGCCAAGAAAGGCCGCTTTCAACATGTGTGAGTTGCTTGAATCAAGCTCCATGTACCTCCATAAGCTGGGCCTCTGCAAAACAAAGACGCCCACAGATCCGGGTGCTTTTGAATGCTCTTGACCCTTCTGCACCGGGGACGCCGATGCGAAGGATTCTCGTGCCTGGGCCTCGGTGGCATTGGTGAGGTACACGCCCAGCTCCTGCCAGCGGTTGAAGAGCGTGGAGACCCGCGAGTCAAAGCTCTTGGAGACCCGGAGGCCCGGAGACGTCTTCAGTGACGATACTCCTTTAGAACGTGGAGTGACACAAATCAAATGAACCATGACTAACTCCATTGCCATTACGTGGAACAGTTACATCTTACATAATGTTACATACATTAGGGTCATAAATGCTGTAAATGTAGGCAACTAGTCCGTATATGGATGGTTTGGGTATATAAACCTATATGAGTCAGGTTGCCCTTTTTCTTTGGTGAGGTACGAGCAAAGGGTCCAGGTAGATTTGGACTCAACCTAACACCCATGCAAGCTCCTAGTCTGCATTGGGCACTGGGCACCCATACATGTTTGTTTCGCTTGTCTTGGGACGGGTCAGCGCTCAGTGCATCCTCATTGCATGGAAGAACCTGCATTCTGCAGCAGAACGTCTCTAACACCTTGGCACCATCCATCCCAAGCAACTCCACGCAGCTTCAGGCCCCCGGCACTCGGGGAAAGAAGAAACATAACACACACCGCGACAAGGGTTGCCAAACATGGCACCCCAAGGAACGCCCCAACAAAAACCGGCCCGGTACGCGCGCAATACGAACCTACGCGCGCGCGTGCGTGTTTGGGGCCGGTCCGGATGTACATGGATCTTGATCTTGTTCTTGACCATGCCCGGTGAGGCATTCGTGGGCCCGGAGTCAGGCTCTACCAGGAGGTCATTCAACCTGGGTCCCGCCGCGAGTTGTCTTTTTTCATAAATCCAAGCACCAAAAACCACTACTGATTTGCAATACTGTTCTTTTGCCAAGTAAGTATTTTGACTAATGGAATTTAGACTACACAATAACCAGGTCAACCTTTCTTTTGGTGGTCTTTGAAGGCTATGGGCTGTGTAGGGGTAGGATACACTACCCCAAGGATTCCAACAATTGATTTTAAGATCCTGAACAACCATTTGTCTAATGTTTTCTACTAAGGTTTTTAGGATATTAAACAAGAGTCAACCATGTCCTTAAAATGGTCTTGGAAGGCAAGGGCTATGGCTATGGATATGGATCACATCTTGGTGAAATGGACATCAAGCTGAGCCGTTATATAAATCTGGGAACCATAGCTTGTTGGAACAAACATGAGCCAACGCATTCGACCATGTCAGTCAAATCTGGGAATTCCAACACTTTGGCAGGTTGCAGTCGGCTTGATGTAACCCTCCCTGACATCGCGTCAGCAATTCCCAGTTTTCAAGCTGGGCTGCAAAAGGAGCGTGGAAACGACCCTACAAACCACTGTACAAAGCTGGCCATTCCTGTCTTGGAGAACAATTTTTGCAACTGGACCTTCCGACCTCCAAGTCTCTAGGCCGAGCACCAACCAATTCTCCAAACGTTGATATCTTCCCTACATGCAACCTTGGACCTCATGTTGCTGGATTTGATCATCCCCCGAGAAACACACAAGTAAAACCACTAGTCAATGAGGTAAAGGATCAGGCTTTATTGGGTTTTTGGACCTGTAGAGATTATTTAGGCCAAGCCATTGTTTGCTTCTCCTCCTCGCCCAATCTGGGGAACCCCTCCACCAGATTGTGGTTGGCCGAGCAGCTTCTCGTTGTAGACTTCCAGCATTTGCAAGACAACGTGCACTTGGCAGCCTTCCTCACGCCGCTTCTCTGCCTAGAGGCACCCCGGGGCCTTAATTGTTTCACCACCCACATCGACGTCGAACTCTTCACAAGAGTTGCCCCATGTTGCCCCTCACATACATCTGGAAAAAGCAACCAGCTCGCTAGTTGCAGGTTGAAGGTTACCTCCCACAGCAAATGGCAACCTGCTAACCTCACAAAGACCCTTCATGTGACCCTTCCCAACTCAGCTCCCTGTGTTCGGAGATTCTTCTAAAACCACCTTTTTCGGAGGTTTGAAGGTTGAAAGCTGCTGGCCAGGAAACACCTAGGCCGCTCCACAAGGTCGTCCTTCCCAGATTCGCTGACATCCTCAGACCCCCGCAGGACTCGATCCTCGTCAGATTGGGTGAACGACGTCTGTTTCTGGTTGAGTGGTCAGAGACCTCCCATTCCACCAACAAGATCCAAACATGTTTTATCCCTATGGATCCACATACCGAACCTCAGAAGGTCATTGGGTCCCTCCTGGCGCCTACATCAACAGTCTCCGTCCTCACCGTACCTGAGAAGGTATGTGGATCCATATAAAAGGCGACTCGCTTCTTCCTCGCTGTCCTGACGAATCAGTCCAGAAGAAAGCCCACCCGCCACAGGCCGATCCAAACGATGCACAAGTCGATGTCTTCCACCGAGAGGGGGGGAATTCTATTTTCAACAGGATGGAGCCCCAAAAATCACAACACAACAGTGCGAAGATTGGATCCATTGGATGTTTTAATATGTTTTAATGTTTGATTCACAAAACCCGCCCAATTTCATTTGGATAGTAAAGCCTCTCCATAAGGGGGATGTCATTCATTATAGAGTCCACACGACCTAACATTCATCATCCATGCAGTCAAAGACTCCAGCCCCTTGGCACACCATGGCACACCCACCCCATGTGATCGCCGCCGTACCCCTGCGACCCCCACCTCGGCAAAAACGTCGTCCACCAAACGCATCAGCAAGCCACGCTCTGAGCGGGGCTTGTCCTCAGCCGTGGATGCGTGGAAAACCTGTCACGCAGTGTGCGTTCCCAGCCCATTTGGGTCCCAAGTCCCACAAGAATGGTGGAAGAACAAGGTGGAATCCCACCTATAAAGACACCAAAGGATTGTCAATCCGGAGCTTTCACCAAACTTGGATGGTGCCAAAGTCCTTCCTGCAACACCTTTAAAGTGATGAAAGCATGAAAGTGAGACCAAGTGAGCGAAGTTGGCCTTGCCAGTGACCTAAAGTTCAGAATCCTAGGGCTCCGCCTCCTGCCAAGGTGTTTGGGATGTATAGGGATCTAGGCTTAAAACACCATCCGAGGAGGCATTTGCACTCCCAAAGAACTCACTTTTTGCCGCTCCTCACCACTCTCAAACTCAGCCTGAATCCTTGATCGGATCCAACTGGAGACTCCGGACTCACTCCACTCCTCCGAGGATCTCCGGGTGACACGCGATCGTTCGGTGAAACACCTCACCTTCACCCTGCTGAAGAGTTCTCTTCCCCATGCAGGAGGCTCCATGGGGCCGAAGTCTGAGGATCCTGCAGTGATGAGATCCCATCCTCCCCAGTCGTTCTGCGGAGCGATTCCGCACACCAAAAAAACGGATCAAACATGGGGGGAGTGATGCTTAATACTCCCAAGTTCTGGGAGTGCAAGACTGCGAGAGGATCTGATTTGGCAGATCTGGGGAGTGTGGAGGAGGATATCCAGGAAAACTAGTCCAGTAGCTCCTGTGCCATATTAGCACACTAAACGCATTGTACATCCGTGAGTGGATCCTATGAATTCCACGATATTTTCAGGGTCGCAGTGGTACCACTACCTCATCAGCGCATGGCTTCCGAAGAAGCTTCTACTGCTTACGACCGCTGTCCAAATGTTTGTTCAACAAAGCACCGTTCACATATTGAAACTGCTGTTTAGATCCTCTTGCAGGGAAAATGGTGGTCCCGACCTCTTGCTTCAAATGACAAAGCGGCCTCAGCAACAGGTAGAGCTATTGCAAAATTGCTGCTTTGCGAGCCTTAAGAAATGGACACTTGGCATCCAAACTTGTCGGGCCAACCCAAGCCAAGTGCGGGCACTTCAAAGGACATGGCAACTGGCCAGCTGACATTCAATCTCCAGAACAATAGAACAGAACAACAAATGCATCAAACACAACAAAAATTGCAGGACCAAAGCATCCTGCGCCCGTTTTTCCGGGACTTTCTCGGCCACTGCGCCGGTTGCTGGAGAAATGCCTGGCCAATTAAGAGCGGCTCAGCGACGAGCGTCTCCTGGCGAGACATGCAGTCAATAGATGATAATATCTCGAAACGAATTACATAGAAGTTATACATTCGGGGGCATTATGATCCTCATCCCAAGATATCCCAAGTAAAGGTTGGACATCCACATGTCTGAACCCATCATCCAAAAGAGTATGTCATTATGTGCACAGCCCCTGATTATGTCGACCTTGCAGCAGCACACTGGCTGCTCCGCTGCTGCTTTTTTCTACTGTGGATTGGCCTCTTGACTCTTGGATAGGCTTGAACCTGGACATGTCCACCTCGAAATCACCTCGAAAGTATAATATATATATATATTTTTTTAAATATGCCCTTATAAAATCTGAATCTTCTGTTTGACGGTCTTGCCACGTTCCAATAGAATATGGATGTACTTTGGTATTCTTGGAGATTTCTTCTGTAATGAGGCTGTAGCTATACTACCAGCACCCTCCAAGTATCTCCAAGTACGACCATCTACGACCTGTCACGAGCAGTCTGGGACTGGCAGTTTCTGCGTGGGAGGGCTGTTTCCGTCAATAGTCCAGTTTTAGGGAGGGTTTGGGTGATGTTCTCCACGCTCGAATCAGCACAAAGGATTCCCAAGCAATCCATGAGACTGGCATGTGGACCTGCATTGGGATGGTTGACTGGCATCCATTCCAGTTTCATGTGTTTGGCTACGCCCAGTGGATGATGATGGTCCAATGGTTGGTCAAGGCATTGCCCAAACTCAGGGATCATCTGTCATTCAACTGTTACTGGTAATGGGACACACCCTGAACCCTGAAATCAGCCACCCCAGTGCGCTCTGATTGGCGGGGCATGGTTTGCAGGATAGCTCATTGGTGTATATTAGTGTCAATTGGTCAACAATCTTCCGGAGTTAATGTTATAGGCTATAGCGGCTATAGGTACTTAATGTCATTGTAGTTAATAATTGATACCATGTAATACCAACCCTCTGATCCCTAAAACCTAAACCCCTCTTCATATGGAGCTTTTATTCATCAAGTGCCTACACATAAGTTACAGTGTGACGCCATGCACAACCCGGATGGCTGGGTTACTACTGGGGCGCCACGCCAAACGCGCGTCCCGACCGATCCCGGATCGCCGGGCAAAGCATGCGAAACCTCAAAGCCAAAGTGAAACCAGAAAACGTCTAGTCTAGCATGTCTTCTACCAGAGCCCCCGGATAGGGGTGGTTAATGGATACCCCTTAACCTTTCAGGAGCTATAATTAGACACCCCTTAGGGGGCACTAGTTACTGTTTATGTTGCTTTTGTAGAGCCTGTTCGGGCCACCCTGACTTCTGGTGCCCCGCTTTTTTCGCCGCAACTAGCATGGGTGCCGGCATGAAAACTGGAAGAACGGCGCAGTTCTTCCACTACCGTGACGCACGTCACAAAGGGGCGACGAACATGTCAAAACGTGAAAGTTTCATCATTCATCATCGACCCCATGATCTTTCAATTTGACCCTCGGTTCATGGTCCAATCATGCGTTGCCAAACCATCGTTCTCGACTCACCAATAGGGCAAACAAAAATGGGGTTTCTTCAGAAGAGCCTAAGAGTCAAGGCTCGCTAGTGGCCCAAACCTATTGAATCATCCTACAGCTAAACCTACGGAGTGCATGCTGACGCCCCTGCTGCTTTCAGTGAAACAGCGCTTCAGCTCTTCTTTGAAGCAAAGCTGAGAACGGTGGAACCGCAGGGTAGCTCCGGACCGTGAAGAAAACGATTTATCCGACTTAAAAGGACCACAATGGACCACAGGTCTTAGATGGGCACTTCTTGCTACTGGCAGAAATGGCCTCCACCCCAGTAGCGATGGCCTCCAACCTACTAGCTTCTAGCTACTAGTAGAGTCTTTGCTACTAGTTTAGTAGCCTTCTAGGGGTCAAGATCTTTCATTCATGATGAGCCTTTAGATGGGGACATTGGCCGGGCGCTACTGAATCTACTGGATCAGGCTGCAGTCAAAGCCAGTTAACCCCTACCCTCCTGCAATTGAGGGTGAAGTCGCTATAAGATGTTATAAAGAACGACCAACTGGAAACAGATTGAAACGCTGAGTCTCCAGTTCCCAACAATCTAAACAAGCACTCCAGTTCCATTCTGCGGAGTGTCACACACCTGCCCTTGTAGTCTGAACTTTGGAACGCCCAAGTAAAATAAGTACATATATCAAATAGTACTATATCATGTATATATAGATATAGATCTATCATATTATACCTCTTCCCCAGCAATATACCAAGCATCTTCATGTCCGGGGACCTGCTGGCGCCTTTCTTTTCGAAAGCACGAGCCTCGCCTCTCGCCTCACGTTCGCCTCATCTCCCGGTGGTCTCGGTCTCAAGCCTCGACGTCGAGTGACGTCGAGTGACGAAGACTGGGTCTTGATGAGACTGAAAGAGTTACAATGGGATGTGCCGGGGTCATCCGGGAACAAGGGATGATAAGGTTCATATATATATATATATATATATTGTATTTATATATATACAGTATATTACAGCTGTCAGGTCAGTGACTAAGAATATACAGTGTATATATATATAGTGTCCCAGGGACTTATCCCTGTTGTTCTTTACCAGGGTCATCCTGTCTGGGTGTCCTGGCGTTCGACTACCCCACCCTATTTGCAGGTCTCCAAACAGGGCACCCGTTGGAAGTGCTAGGTACATGCACCCCATTTTCACATGACCCTGATGTAAATAAGAAATTCCATGGTTCCCTACCCCAAGAATCCATGTATGGAATATGATCTATCCACACCTTCCTCTGGTGGTTTTTGGAAACCCCGTAACCCTTCACCCCTGAGAGGCCAAAACCATAGAAAACCCTTCGAGCGTCCTGGTATAAGTATGCCATACATTCATTGTTTGGGTATGTTTCGAGAATCCCTGCCATCGACGAGGCTAACCGTTGTTTTCCCACAACCAGGCTGGACCTCAGTTGAAGGAGGCCAAGGCTGGGCCTCAGTTGATGTACGAACAAACATCCAAAAGAGGCTGAACGACCTCAGTTGACTATCCCATAGGGAAGTTCGTAGGGTCCTATAAGGTCACTTCACCTCTCTCGGATGGATGAAACATCCCCACCATTCTCCCCACCATCACATCCAGTTTTGCTCTGTTTGGCTAACTGGTTGGCCTTCTGAGGGGCACAAACCTGCTGAACGTCCCCCAGCTCAATCATCCATCAACATGGAGCACACACACACACAACTCTTAGGGCATTTGACTATAGATCATGCTTGGATCGGAAGGTCAACCACCTTCCCTCCAACAAAAACCGCCCATGTCATCCCATCTTCCACCCTCACCCCTTACTCCATTTCCTCCTTCCTTCCCTCGTCCCGCTTCCGTTTTGGTCGCTCAATGAGCAGTTCAGCTCCGGGCCTCCTCCTCGATGAGCAGCAGCGCGGCCGAGGGCGCCAGCCCCAGCTCCCGCAGCGAACGCTCCAGCTCCGCCGCCACGAAGCGGCACCGCGGGAAGGCGATCGCCTCGCTTCGGCGCGGCGCGAGGGAGCCGTGGGATGACGCCGATGGGCGCCGGAGTCAAGGGGGGTGTCAAGGTAGGTTGGCCCATGTTGGAACGAAGAAGTATCGAAAAAAACAAGAATCCAAGAAAGATGGAGAACTATAAATACAGTAGAGATTATAGATTTTAGATTTGTAGATTTAACACTAACAAATGGAGATTGTAGATTTACGGTATAAATTTGTTGATGTCAATCTGTTAATATTAGCCGTCAAATGCCGTTAGCCATTGGCTGGTGGTGTGGAAACTACTCTGATGAACTGCTCGGCATGGGTTTCCACACCTGGGCATAGTGGGTTTGAGCGGCATACCTCTTGAACTTTCTTGTTCCAAGCAATCCTTCTGTATGAAAGGGGATTGTCAGTAAATTCTAAAGTAAATCACTTTGGATCCTGATCTGGTCAACACTGAATCCTTGGGGTGAGAGCTCCTGATGCACCCTCTGTAGCTCCTCAAGCCTCTGTAGCTCCTGTACAAGCCCGCGACAATTTGGTCAAATCCCTCCACACTCGACTGTCAACGATGTGTGTGTGTGTGTGTGTTCTCATTTAGACTTGAGAAGGGGAAGAAGGATCCCGACAGATGATGTGTTTTCGTTGGTCCTTTTTCAGGCCTAATTGAATGGGTGACAAAGGAAAAACACGGCTTCAGACTGGGTAAAGACGGCAAAGAATCTTGGAATGACTCGTTCCACTCCGGGCTTCGCATCAAAAAACACTCCAAGTTGCCAGCTGAAACGTGGAGGGGATCCTCAGCTGAAACGGGGCTCGGGGGCCGATCGAAGGGCGAAGCTGGCGAAACAATCCCCTGCCAAGAGGCCTGGATGTTAAGACATGGCCAAAGAACATGTAGACGATTGATTCATAGCCTATTAGCCAATATAAGCCATATGATGAAGTTTTATACTCCATATGAGGGGTCCCAAGAACTCTACAATAAGGGTGGTTCCTATTGAGATTGCATGAGTTGGGCGCCCGGGGGTCCGGGGGTGACCTGGACTCTCACAAGGACTAAGGCTCTCCCCCATGATGGGATAGAGGCCAACACATGTGCTTCACCCAGCTCTCTACCCAGCTTGCAGAAAAGCATCTGTAAGCGTCTGCCCTCCGCTTCTGGAAGCCAAGGGCAGCCTGGGTGTGATGGGACCTCCTTCCGCGCCACCTCTCCCGCCTTTTGCGGGTGTTTTCATGTCCTCCCAAGCACGACCCGTCTGGGAATGGCATAGATCATAGATCCCGTAGCGTCTACGTACCTTGGGGTGGTTGATTTCAGGGGTCAATGTGTCAGTCCCAGGTGGGTTCTCCAGCACCCTCCAGCTTCAGCTCCACTCCCATCTTCTCCTAGCTCCTCAGCTCCTCTCCATCATGGCAAGGTTGGTCCCCTAGGCTCCAACCACCTCCTGAGAAGGTGGTTGGGGTGGGTTTTGGGGGTCTAACCACCTTCCTTCGGATATGGTTGGAGCTCTAGGGGTCTATAAAGCCACACTTTTCGTTCCTCTCCTCTTCTCCTCTCCCTGCGCCCAGCAGCAGGTGGCCCAGTGCCGCACCCGCGCCAGGGTCTCGGAGCCCTCGAAGGAGCGCTCCACCCGCTCGCCGCTCGGCAGCTTCCTGTCATCGGCTTCACGCGCCACATCGCTGAGGGGCGGAAAACCTATAGGCCCTATGGATCCAGGTAAGTATACCTTCTCAGGTTCGGTACGACTGGACCCCCACCCAGGCACCTACATCACAGTGCCGAACACATCGCCTAACCTGAGAAGGTATGACTGGATCCCTATGGGGCAAAGGACTCCAGCGCTCGGCGCCCAAAGTAGACGGTGAAGGTGGGCAGGGAAATGATGGAAGAGTCGAAGAAACACCCACGAACTGAACGCAACAAACACCCGGCACTTCTATCCCAGCTTATGGCGCCCCCCCGTAACATACACACACACACACCCTAGGCCTCCAGTCATACCGAACCGTTTCGGAGGTACGACGACAGTGCGGTGCGACGGGACAGTTCTCTCCCGGTCCCGTCGAGGATGTCGATCGCTCCGTCGGCCGAGCGGCAAGACCAACCGCACGGGGTCGGTCAAGGCGCCGCTGGGCGCCGCGGCGAGGAAGTCCTCGGCCATGCGCCGCTGGGCATCATCCTCGGTGGGGTGATCAAGGGAGGGACGGGTGGAGGGAAACAGCAAAAGCATAGAACAGCGACGCTCCCTCCAACCATGGCCTCTTGGAAAGCATTTTGCTATCATTCTCTACTAAAGGGGCTTGCCGTTTCCAGAATCCACAATCTACACTGAAATATCTCTGAATATCATAGTAGCTTACTTAATTCTACTTCTGAATATCCATATCTATATACATTATATATTGTAGTTACACTTCCTTTCTTCCCGCAAAACAAACTTGACCCAGGCGCCATGGGCGGGGGCCGTGTCTCCGGCCGTGGCAGGACCGCTGGCGCCGTGCCGACGCCCCCCGTGCCGCCCGGCACGTCCGGGGCGGCGGGGCGGCCTGGGGCGTCCAGGCGCGCGCGCTCCTGGGCTCAAAGGATGAGAGGATCTCGATTTTTAGGCCTCCAAGTACCTTCTGAGGAGGGGTTTGGGGTGCGTTTGGAGGGTCCAGTCATACCTTCTGAGGAGGCACGACTGGAGGTTTAGGGAATGAGAAGTGGCTATGGTCAATTCTATCAAAAGCGTCCTCCTGACAGAATGTCAGTGGGAAAAGGCATGGGCAAGGCGCACAGGAAGTCGAACTTTGTGAAGTGAAAGATGTATAAGTCACAAACATCTACCAGGGCCCCCTAAGGGGTGTCTAATTATAGCTCCTTAAAGGTTAAGGGGGTATCCATTAACCACCCCTATCCGGGGGCTCTGGTACAATATACAGACAGTGTGGTTTCCGGACAGTGAGGGGAACTCTAATGACTCTAATGTCGTGTGTTTGGTGACCGGTGTGTCCTTCTTGTTTTCATTGCATGTTGCGTACGACGCACGTCGACAACAGCGCCTGCGCCGGCAAACCCACGACCGGTCCGAGGGTGTGCAACCCCGGTTTCCCCAAACACATGGTTGCGACCCTCACATCAAAGAGTGTCCAAACTCACCTGGCTAGGCATGATCCAATCACAATTTGGGACATTGTCCAGCACCAAACCATCACTTTCAACCCACATTCCGGCACCCAAAGCACTCAAACAAAAATAAAGGCTTGCCATGTTAGGGTGTTGATGTCAAACAAAGCTTGAACAAAGCGTCTCATCTACTTCTAGCAATCTCTTGCTGCAGAAGTCCCCGTGGCCTCTTTCCAAAGCAACACCACACGAGTTTTTGCAGACTAGGCGCTTGATCTCTGGCCAAGGCATCCGCGTACTCCTCACGGTGCTCGGATTTTTGTTTGTTGTTTCTCTACCCGTGAATGGGTAGTCAATGAGTTCGTGTGTGGAATGATGGTTTGGTGATTTTCGGTGTTCCACCCTGACATTTCTTTCTGCGATTTGTGTTTGATCTTCTGTATTTTCTTGTAATTCTAACTGTTTTAATGTATCATCAGGCTTCCATCGTCTCCTGGTCTTGCTGTTGCCTTAGTTGGGCATCCTCATCATTCCGCCTCGCTTGCCTTGGATTATGCGCAGCATTAGCCAAAAAAAGAGAGCAGGTTTGTCCTCCATCTTTCTTGCCACTCAATATCACTCAATGCATCGGACTGCCCATCTGAGACATCGGGAAAAGGAACATTCCATGATATTGGTCCAACGGGCCGGCAGCTCGGAAAGGTCGTCACCAGGGCACACTTCCACAGTGCATGGGTCCGAAACTCCATCCGCCCAATAGATTCCTTCACTCCGGAGATTCCTTCCAACTTGGGCTGTATACCTGCGGACCCCTACCTGACCTATAACCCCGACACTCCATGTATGGCATATTTACATCTACATTGACCCCTGAAACCACCCCAATGTAGGCATATATGGCATACATGGAGTGTCTGGGTAATACTGACCGCCATACCCCCCAAAAAAACGGACCCCACTGCCACCAAGCCCAAAGCAAAAGCTTACGGACTGCGTGGTCACGCTGCATCACTTGTCGATGGACTTCCTCGGTGGACGGCCCGAGTTCGCTTCGTCCACTGACCCCAACCAACCCCTCCCTAGGGCTCCTGGTCCATCTCCTCAGGTTTGGTGGTTAGACCCTCCTGGCACCCACTCCAACCATCTTCTCAGGAGGTGGTTGGAGCCCTAGGGCCCTAGGGCCTAGGACCCCAGCGTGGACCACGTTCCGGTCATTCGCTAGCGAAAAATCGTCTCACGGCCTCAACCTTCCGGTGGCTCAACCTTACTTTCCGGTGTCAGACTTCAAAGAGTCGGGTGGGAGAGCTGAGCTCAGTTCCGAGCTAGTAGACAGTCTGTGATCCGAATCGATCGAACATATCCACCAGGCTTTCAGTAAATCCTGTGGCTCTCATAGATTTCATGGGCAGAGCCTGACCCAGCTGCAAAAAATCGTCAAGGTCCAAGTAGGCTAGGCACGTTTCTGGGGGCGGGACTTGGCGGGTGAGCCACGCGGTCAGTTTTCGATGTCGGCCACCTTTCTTGTTCGACCGACCAGTGCCGCTGGAGCTCCATCGCCTCCAAGCCTTCCAAAATGCTCTCCTAGGCCGGGAAACATCATGAACCCAAGGGATTCAAGTACATCCTGAGAAGGTATTTGGGGTGGGATTAGAGGGTCTAAGTATCTTCATCAGAAGGCAGGACTGGAGCTCTGGGGCAAAGGATACTGCGGAACTGACGAACTCAGAAATTAATCCAGGTATGTTAACGTTGTCATACGTTATCTACATTTGAAAAAGTAATCTAGGTATGTGCCTACCCTTTGTTTTCTGCTCACTGCAAAAGCTGCCATCAGTCTTGCATTTCTGCACACACAATTAATATGAGTATATGTGGAGGAGTATGCCTATCACGTCATCTTGCAAAAACATAATCCTAAAACATCAATCCACCACAAATAATCCGCGATGTCACGTGCTACCCTCGATGAATTTCACAAGGTACCTCCGATTGCGTTCCTTTGTGGGATTAACCCGTGAAAGATGTGAACCGCAAGATGCAAGAACAAGAGGTCCACTGGATGATGTTCCCCACATAGGTCCCAGGAAGCCACCGTCTCAGGAACCAGGGGCCTCGTTCAGCTCTACTGTTTTTGAGTCGAACCACTGGTGGCCTACGATCCGCAAGTCGCACTTCCAGTCCGCACGCGAAGGGTCCGGCGGCACAGCAAGAACACAAAATCCCAGACGCTCCAAACAGTTCTTGGTCCCTCAAAACCCTATACCAAATTTGAGGGTCCGGACCCTCCATATGAGGGTTTTTGCGTCTACTGAACGGAGGGTACGGCCGTCGCGTCTGGGGTGGGAAATCGCCGCAAAAAGAGCGTTCAGCAGCTTCAGCACCATGGGTTAAGCAGCATCTGGCTTTTGCTTCTGTTCCAAGTCTCACCTTTTCAAGCTTGAAAGTCATTCACTCTTCACATAACTGAGCAGTTGTTGGCTTTGGCTTTAGTCTTGGTTTGAACACCGGAGAAGCCTAAAGACACACCACAACGTCTAGTAACACAACACAAAAGCCTCCAACAAGACAAACAACAGAAAAATAAACAAAAAAACACACAAACAAAAACTGTGACATGCGACGCAGAAGCGGCGCAATATGTCGCCCCAAACAAACTCTGTCTTCTGGGATGACATGTTTGACAGACTTTGCCACATCCCCAGCTCAGCGATCCTTTCTGATGTCACAACTACTTGGGAATGCAATAGGGAGACCCCCCCTGGCCCTGGCTGGGTAGACTGGTCCATGTTCCTTCCTCGAAGCCCGGAGTTCACGAAAGAGGAAGCTCGATGCCCCAAACGCTCCAAACAGCTCGACTGGTCCCTCAAAACCCTCCAGCATGTGAAAAGAAACACCATCCAGCATGTGAATCCGCTTGGCAAATATGGCAAGTGGGGAGGTGGCGGAGCTAAGACACTGTGTCCGAGTGGCTAAGAAAATGGACTAAACTGTCTGACGTCACTGATGAGCAAACTTCTTTTAATACCTTCTAATAAAGCGATTTGGGGCTCTTGATGGTTCTTGGACAAAGAGGTTTCAAGGGAGGGTTGTAGAATGTTGTAGAGCTTGTTTGTTCACAAATCGCGTATGTTCATCAGGAATCCACCGTTTTTTTAAGAATCAACCAGTTTCAATTGGGTGGGGAAGGGGGAAGCCCAATCCTGGCGATTAGATTAGAAGTTCCATTCAAGTGATCCACATGTTTCGATGATCCGCCAAGCGTCAAGAGTTTGTGCTCGAGACACAGCGCCCGGAACGGCCAGAATCACCTCAGCTTCGGCACCCGGCTCCGGCTCCGTCTATCGCGAACACCACCCGTGGCGGACTTGTGGCTGGCGGACTTGAACACTGAGTGCCCCCCTGCAGGTTCACATGGACTCTCAAAACCTCTGAGTTGTAGGGAAAAATGGGTCGGTCTGACCTTCTTGTATAATAGACGTTGATTGAAATTGGTGTCACTGAGTCACCATGGCTCATTGTCCATATCAACCTGTTTTCAATGGCACCCTGAGAAGCAGGGTTGCTGTGAGGTTGCGAGCATCATATGCAAACTTTTTGACTTTGGGACGACCAGCCCTATTTTGCAGCATGGGTGGGTGGTTTTCTATGTACGGGTGGGAAAAATAGATGGAAGTGCTACAGATTCCATCCCAATGACCTGATAGACCTTCTGCAGGCCATCCTCTACAAAGTCTTCATCTTGCAATACTCGGATTTGCTGTCAAGGAGGCCGGGACAGAAAACATGAAAAAACATCCCGAGGTTTTGGGGATTCACCCATAGGGAAAGTACATGAAAGTACAAAGAACATCCTAATCCTAAGAAGAAACGGCATAGAACTCCCGGGGCCTAGCCTATCCATAGGCCTATCCTAGGGCCTAGGGGTCTACCCTATCCATAGGGGTCTACCCTAGCTCGAGTCTAGGGGTAGCACAGCTCGAGTTCTGTATGGAAGAAACAGGAACATATTCCATGTCTCTTTTGATGACCAGTTGGTCATCCATGCTCATCTAAGACCATGGATGGCCAACCCATGCCTTTCATCGACTGTGCAGCATGAGGCTCTGTCATGGCATCGGCCGCCAGTGTCACCGCAATCGCCAGTGAAGGCAACATGTCCACTGGAGCCAGTTGACGCAGCTGAGTGTCCCTCAAATCTGAGGGCCTCCCTCTCCAAAACCTCAGTTTCACGGCTAAGTGGGTGCGGTGTGTGGCGGGTGTGGAGGGTCAGCAAAAAGGGCTTTGGTGCACTACCCTTCCAAACTTGCCTCTGACTTAGATTCATGATTCATGTCCAAACATTTTCCCATCTTATGGGACTCATCAATCGCGTCGACCGTGCCGACGATCAACACATGGCAGCCAGTGAGTCAACCAATGGAATCCATCACCTGTTTCCCCTAGGATTTCAATCACTCATGACTTCAATGGTCTTACCGTACTTACCGAACAACCATTGTTTGACGAAGGATTGTCGACTACAAAGCCAGGTCAACCATTCATGTTTGACCCACAAATTTATTGGACTTGTTGTCCAGCAGCGGGGAACACATCTTCTCAGGTTTGGGGGTTCACCCAGTTCGAAGAAACATATAACACACCACCCGAAAACCACACGAAACCAACTGTTTCGTGCTTTTTGGTCAAGAAAAGGTGCCCAACCATGCCCAACTTGGACTTCTCTCGCCCAGCAGGAACTCCAGTGCCAATTTCCATCCAAAGGGGAGACTTCTTCGTGTGCAAAAGCTCTAGGGATCCACATACCAGGACCATCCAAGGGGTGTCCTGGCAGGACTACCCTACACTACTTATGAATCTCTATTGGACACCCCAGGTATGCATATATATATATATATGTTTTGCATTAAAGTGTCAAATCACATCGATAAAAAGGGCATGTGGTCATCCATAGGTTAGAAGTCATTGAACCACCTGAGGGCATGTGGTCATCCATAGGGTA